ATATCTAGTTTGAGATTATTTTTTTTTTTTTTAATTATAATGAATAAACTTGCTCTATTTTCACAAATACTGCAAATGATCAAAATCAATTCAAAGTTGTTTCTTGAAATGTAGGTCATTAAAAAAGTGAAAGGAAAGGTCCAATATTGAATAGATTAAAGTGTCAAATTTTACTTAGGCATTGAGGCATAGAGTGAAGGTAAACAAATCGTGAACAATGCAGCAATGAAAAAATTAAGCACAACCAGTCATTTTAAAAATAGGAGTTACACAGCTGCATTTTGTTAATTTTCCTTACGCATCTTTAAAAAAAAAGAAAAATTTTAAAAATAGTGTCTCAAGTTGAGCCACGATCAAGGGGACTTAACTCTCATCGTTTTTCATATTAGCAATATTTGGACAAAGTGGAAACATTCACAATAGTAAAAATAGTCCCATTATATTATCATATGAAGCTGTAATGGCTTATATTTTTAGATTTTGATGCACTGATACAGCAGTGGCTAAATGCATGATTGCTTAAATTTATTATAAAAAAAGAACACCAGTGCAGATACTAGTGCAGTTGTAAAAAATAAATTCAAAATGTTTATATCACAAATCAATGACAAGTGATGATGCAGTAAAAGTTAATATTGCCTTTTTGATGATTTGCAAGTTATCAAAAAAATAAATGAGGGCTTTGTGTGGACTCAAATTACAAAAAGGTAAAAAAAAAAAAAAACACTTTTGGAATCAAATATTAAAGTACAGATAGGTTAATCAAGTGATTTGAATTATGTAAGTAAAAGAAATCTTACTTCATGTATCTACATAAAAGGTGTGGATATGAAAAAAAAAATTTAATTTATATTTCAAGTTGGCCATTCTGCCAAAGATCTTACTCTTAAATCTAAAAAAAAATGTTCATAAAAATTTTTCTCTTTAAAGAAAAAGATTAATAGTTCCATCTTTGTTTTGTCTTTGATTCAAGAAACCTACAATATAAGATTTAGAATGTAAAAAAGAGTGTAGTAGTAAATGCTTGTCTTTTTCTGGCACACTGATATCTGCATGGGTCATGCAGCACCAAAATTCATTTCCTTATCAGTTGACAAACAAATGACAAAATTAGAGTAATGAATCAATCATTTTAATTTATCATAAATTTTTGAAAGGGAAGAATATTTGAAAGTATTTGCAGACTTTCAGATGACATGCAACAGATGAGAAAAAAAAAAAAAAAAAAAAAAAAAAAAAAAAAACAATTTAGATTTTTATATACAAAAATGAAAGGAGATTTTTCTGACAGCAGAAAAATTCAGTCACATGACAACCCTTTTTGGACAATATCACTTTAGGATCCTGAAAAGAATGTATCAAGAAATTTAAATGAGACACACTATTATTCTCAAATACAAAACCATCTGCTTTTTTTCACACAAAATAAAATTTATTTAAAAAAAAAAAAAAAAAGCCATTCCAGACTTCATGAATTCCTAAGAATAACCAGAAATATTAAACAAATCCCAATTGATAATTTTTGCTTGAATTTCCAGGATGAGAAGTTATTATTATTTACCCTATTTACAGTCAGACAAATGTCATTGTCTTTGCTGTCATCACAATGTTTCAGTCATTAAACCTTCCAGCCTTCTTCAGGTGTCTGTTGATGCAGGTAACCTTCAGGGAATTTTCAACTGATTCTTTATTTAATCTACAGGTAGTGACTATTCTCCTTCTTCCATTCATGTCTAGGCATCCTGTTCTTTTTAGTACTGCTCCATTATTGCTCACCCTACTTCTGCTGGGTCTAAGTCTGTACCACCTGGTCTATGGATTGAAGCCACAATTACTATCTCACCAAATTCATGAACCAACACTTTCATCCACTAGTACAGACTAAAGACTCCATAGAAAGACGACAAGAAATAACTGAGCAATACTAAATAAGAACAAGACATCTGTAAATCTGGACAGTAAAATGGTTGGACAGATTGACAGAAGGCTGCAGGACACAATGGCTGAAACAATAATGACAACAAAAAAGACAACAAAAATGAAGAACATTATTCTGAATGAAAATAATGTAAATAAATCCCAAAGGAATTATCATTAAATATATGAAAATTGCCAGCAACTGAGGACATAAATGCATTAAAAAAAAATTTTTGGAAAAGTGTGTTGTGACAGGAGATCAGAGTGATGTTGAGAGCTCTGTAAACAGAAAAATCTAATATTCTTATCAATGAGAAGTTACATTAAACAAATGTCGAGTGAATTTTTAGTCAGAGATTTGGAACTCATCAGACTTCAAGGTAATAATATTAATTATGAACAGAGCTGCTAAAATTTTCAATGATTTATCATTGCCTTAATATAAAATCTTATGGGTGTAATGTTAAGTTCTTTACCTCAGATAAGCAAAATAAATGCCAGCAGTATATATAAGAAGCATTTGAAAGTAAATATGACTTCAAAATTAACCCATTGTACCTAATACATCACAATTTTTTTATTTATTTTTTTTTTTTAAATTGGAAACATATCTGTGAATTTTACTTAACATTATCTGAAATAATTCTGGTTGGGTTCAAACTTGAGTTTGGTATGTCAAAACAAAAATATGTTAGCAAATTTTTTTTTTAAATGCACTTCTGGAGTACAATGGGTTAATAGATTTGAAACTAAAAATGTACAAAGATGAAAAATAATTTACAAAATTTGTACAACTTGCTATTAAATGTGAAGTTGGCAGTATCACTCACATCACTAAATTCAAATGTGCCCATTTTTTCAAAATAGCTTCAAGGCCATAAAAATAAGAAAATAGAGAATAGAAAATAATGAAAGATATCCTCTAGAATGAGGACAAGACTGAAAAGTTAAGTAAAAGATTTATCACTGCCCAGTCAGATAAGAGCTGTGAAATATTAAATGTGATAAAGTCAGGATTAAAAAAAAAAGAAAAAAAAATGTACATAAAATTGTACATTAAAAAAATTATAGTCTTTCATATAAAAACAAATAGTTTATCTTATACATGATTATATATTTTGAAAAAAAAAATGTGAAAGCATTCTAGTCAAGTGGACAAATACTTTAATCTTGACACTTCAAAAGTTAGCCACAGATGCAATGAATATATATATATATATATATATATATATATATATAGCCTTTTTTTTCTGCCAGATTATTATAAATACAAATTTTGCTTCTATCAATCAATAAAATGGGACCCAATTTCTGCATGAATGGTAACAGTTTCACTTGACTTGTTTATAACATTTTCACATATGATAGTTTCATGTAATATCAGCTCCTATTCATATGGAGATAAACCTTTAGTTGTGCTCAGAGAATAAATTTAAATGAGAAACATTTCCTACGTTAAAAAAGATGACTAATAAAATGTACTTTTTATTCTTCACTGCCATAGTCAAAATTACATTCATCAAATTCTAAGGAATAAAGTTTTATATATGTAAAGATTGAATGATTGATTGATTTTTTTACAGTTTATCAACCTTATGCAGGCTATTTAAAGCCAGAAAATATTTTTTAGATTATAAGAATTATTATAGAGATAAGGATTTCTACTGATGCAAGTTCTAATTAACCTATAACTGGGGGAGAAGAAGTGGATTCAAGGGTATTTACACATAATTGTATATAACAAACCCAACTGGAATTCATCTGTCTGATTTCTAATTCTGAGCTATACACCTTACACCATTCGCACATCCAACCTTATGGCACCTGGTATTCCCAAGCAACCATCCATCTAGGTACTGAGTAGGCTCGATGTTGCTTAACTGTGTTTCAACATGATTGTAAGCCCCTATATATATGATAAAATATAGTTTTAAGGTATGCTATATTTACGGGTTAAAGTGCTCAATGTCAGGAATAGAGCATATATAAGTATACAACGCCTCTGTGTTGACTTCAATGTTCACATACACTATATATATATATATATATATATATTGTGTAAGATCTTATTAAATAAAATATAAGTGCTTTAAATTCTTAAGCCAATCCCCCTCTAAAAAAAAACACAGGCCTTTTTTGTTCTATTAGCATATTTTTCATTTAAAAATTCACAAAATAAATCTGACTCTTAAAAAACCTATTATTTTTATAATAGATAATGTTAGATTAAATTAAGAATTAAAAAAAATAAAACCTATGTTTACTTGAGAATGTTGTTTTTTTTTTTTTTTTTTAATGACTGAAAAAAAAAAAAAACGTTTTATCATGCTATTGTTTTGTGGGTCCTCAAAAGGATATGACGCTCATAAGGGCAGATTTTGACATTAATCAAAATGCAGTAACAGAGAAAATGTTATAAACAATAGTCAGAATATTAAGAGAGATACACATGCCAGCACTTCAAGTTTCAAAATTAAATTTGAACACACACGCATACATACACAGACACACATACATTAAAAAAAAAAATATCCCGGCAATTTTATAATTATTTTCTCTTTATAAAAAGAAAAAGATCAATAGAATAATAAAAAAAAAACTTATAAGAAAATAACTAAAAAAATATACAAGTTATACAAATGATGAATGATGAGAAAGAAAATTTAATCATTTCTCCAGCTGTTTATATAATTAAAAAAAAAGAACGTTTACTTTGGAAAATAATTTCCAATACTTAAAAGTATAAGATTCGATGATTGGTTGGTCGGTTAGCAGCAGTATACTCCAAAACAAAACAAATTCTCAGATAAATTATCACCATAATTCAAAAGCAGAAAACCATTTGACTGTATGAGGCAGAATAGAGTACGTGAAGGTGCACACAGACAAATGATATTTCACCAATGATGACAGTCTTTATCTACCTTCCTGTACAAAAGCAGGAGTGGTCATGACAGTGATTAACATCCAAATCACATTTCTCAGATGAAGAAGGAAAAAACTGAATAAGCAGAAAAAAAAAAAAATTTCCTTCTGTTAACTATAAAAAGGTTGCTCAGATCAACCACTAATATTTTTTAATTTTATCGAGGCAATGGTGGTTTCCGGGGTACTGGAGGTAAGATCTCTTCTTCAACAGGAATTGGAGGAGGAGGCTGAAGAGAGAAAGAAAGAAAATGTTTAAAAATTAAAGACAAACATTTGCGGCGGGGGGGGGGAGTTTTTGTATAATGATTAAAATAATTCTACAGAAATACTCTTGACTACTTGAATATCTACACAAAAATATTCTAATATCTCAACAACTGATTTCTTACAAGTGATCACAAAATTGTTTTTTTTACAAGTAATTTTATCAAATTTTTCATATCAAAACATCTCACAAAAAGAAAATTAATAATTCTAAACTCAATCAAATTTATCATTTTTTTTACTTAATAAAAATTAAAATGAACATTTTTTTTATACTAAAAATATAAAAATGAATTTTAAAAATAGAGCAGTCACCATGGTTATGAAATTGAATAAAATAAACTTAAACTTTGAATATAATAAAATGTTTACGTTTTTCTATTTTCACCCAAAATATGATAAATGAGCAAAGATGACATCTACTTTCTAAAATAAAGCCATATTTAAACAATACTATTACTTTTGGTAATGGTAAAATTAGTCATTTCCATACATAAAACATTTGTCCAAACACTAAGCATCACTGTTGATTGGAATTTATAAAATCTTTCATTTAAAACAATTTTCCAGGATAATAGGTTTCTTAAGTCCACTGTTCTTACTCTAAATATTAATGGGAGTTTCCATCCAGACCAATTTTTTTTTTATAATGTGAATTGATAATATTTTTTATTTTGGAAAAAAAATAAACAAAAAAGAATTTAAGAAAAGAAACTTAATTACAGAAGTTTTTCAAAATTGTGCAGTTCTAAGTATAGAAAGAAAAACTAAATTCTCTGAGAAGCGAAACAAGAGAAAAAAACAAAGTTTTGAAATATTTCTAATCAATATATTAAGATAAGAATGAACTAGCATTGATGAAAATACAAGGCTAATAAGGATTAACCAGCAAAATGATCATGTTCTACTCATAACTTTTTAATCATCACTGATAACTAAATTATTACTTACACAAGCATTTTTTGTCCGAATAAATTATATACACTTAGCTTGCCAATAAAAATGCAAATTTTAACCTGATATTCAAAAAGTTTCAAGACATTAATCTATTACTTCCAGCATTATTTTTAATGGGTACCAAAATTTGAGTCAACACTCCATTTATTTTAAACAGTGTTTATTTCATCTACCAGCCTGCACACTCAAGGAAGCTTATTAAAGAAAATGTACCCTATGGCAGTATTCAAACACCACTGTCTGAGCTGGCATGTATCCAAATATGGGAATCTACTAAAAATAATGTTTGTAGTAATAAAAATATTTTTTTACACTATTTACATTCAGACTATTAGACTCATCTTTGTTGCTGTGATCACAATGTTTCAGTTGTTGAACCCACTGGTCTTCATCAGGTGTATATCGATCTGGGTAACCTACAGGAAATTCTGATTTGAACCCTTTATTTAATCTACAGAATAATGATAACTCCTCATCCCAGAAATTAATATAAAAAAAAAAAATGTTGGGGTAAAAAGTAAAATCCATAAATTCTTTAGAAATTACATTAGGGCATTTAAATATGTTTTATTGTTACATTTAAAACATGAAGATTTTCAAAATGATTCTGTATCAATATTTTCTTCATCCTCAGATACCCATGTTTTGTTTTCACCAAATCCTTAAGATAAATGAGTTTTATTTATACATAAAAATTACTGAATGATTGTGAATCTACTGGCATACTAGATTTGACAAGGTCAAGACATTGCCTAAGGATAATGTAATAATTGCAGGTCACATTTGTACAGCTTATATTGACAATTTTCCAGCTTAACATCTGCCAATTTCCCCAAATGGCAGCCACTGCATTAAACTAGTTAAAACTGATCAATTTCTGGACTACTTCCATGACCACGCTCACTTTAAGATTGAAATCATTGTGAATGAATATATTCAAGTTGTTCTTAATTCATTTAACTTGAAACTAAGAGATTTATTCTTTGTTTGGATATAATATAAGCAAGTGTTTTCATTTATTTATTGGATATACCAAGTGAGTGCAGTTCTCAGTTCAATCATGATACAATATATATATATATATATATATATATGAAAATATTTTTGAAGATACAAAATCTAATTACAGTAATAAAAATGTGTAGCTTAATATTGCAAGACATGTTAAAAGTGAAGCAACTGGTTTCGCTCCTGCTCTTCAGGCCTCGACGGGAGATTTAACTTAAATTAAAAACAACAGAAAATGTGTAATAGGAAGAAGGGAAGAAAAAAAAATTGAACACAAGGAGCTAGAGATAAATAACAGCGAGCCCCAATAAGCATTCACACTATTTACATTAATGATATGCTCAGAGTCTTTCTTGGATGATGAAATCAATTTTGTGAAGGAAACCTTATGCGGTTAAGGGTATCCCCCCCCGATACTGTTCATTCGGTCATCCAGAACAAGATTGTGGAGTTCAGAAAGGTCAAACTCTGTATAGTTAAAAAGTGCCCTGTTTATCTTAGATTGTCCTGGATTGGATCCAAGTATGAAAGCATAGTTAGGCAGATTTCAGCTAATGTTTGGCGTTGTCTTTTCTCGGCTGAGGTTCGTATAGTTTTCCAAACCCAGCCTATTTTTCGTTCTGGGTGCAAGGATGCTCTCCCTCCCCCTCAAATTAATTCTATTGTTTACAAATATATTTGTAATTGCGGTGCTGACTACAGAGGGAGAACTACTCAACGACTGGACATGAGAATTAAACAGCATATTCCCATCAAGATCAGGAATCACATGTTTTCTTTGAATGGACTTGTCCCAAATACCGTTGGTACCGCCATATGTGAGCACCTCTTAAATAACAGAGGGTGTGCAGCTAATTTTAGTGCCAATTGGTTCACTGTTCTGTCCCAGTCACACTTGTTATTTCATCTCAAGGTGCTGGAGGCACTTTATATCGGGTCCCGCAAGATTTGTCTCTAGCTCCTTGTGTTCAATTTTTTTTTTTTTTTCCTTTTCATTACACATTTTCTGTTGATTTGAAATCTCCCGTAGAGGCCTGAAGAGCAGGAGCGAAACCAGTTGCTTCGCTTGCAATATTAAGCTACACATTTTTATTTCTGTATATATATATATATATATATATATATATACACAAACTCACAGACATGTATATTGTGTTCAACACCCAATGACAACAGTGTTTCATGCTTACGTACGATCTTCAGGCCATTGTGTTTAAGCATCAAGCATACTTTCATCACTGGGTGTCAACTTCATTGTCCACTTTTATATTTACATCCACTCTATCCTTGATATTAAGTACTTTAACCTATAAACATACCTTAAAACTATATTCTTAAATATATATATATATATATATATATGTGTGTGTGTGTGTGTGTAATAAAAATTTTTATTTTTGTCTGAATTTCTGGGATCAAGAGTTATTATTTAGATGTAGACTATTGACTTCATGTCAACAAAAATGAGGACAATAGTACTCATGTAAATAAAATTTTCGATATTTGGTCATTTACTCTGATTTTACAAAGTGGGTTGGGCTGAGAACTTTTCAGCATCCATTACTATTCTATAAATAAAAAAATTATTTTTTTTTAATAAAAATAGAAAACCTTTTTGTGCTAAATTTAAATTGAATAACAGTCTTACTTTTATATTCATATATGTATATATGTATATATGTTGTTTATCTGATTATTTCAAGTATTTTTCAATGTTTACCTTATTCTTTTGCCCTGTTTTTGTGATCATGCGTTGTGGAATGATTGGCGACTCCTCCCCTACGGTGTTTGTGTAATCTGCATAGGCTTGTTTCTCAGGAAGAGGAGGTGGCTCACCGGAACTTTCAGAGTCATCACTGGTTGGCTCAGAGGTTTCTGCAAATAAACACACAGAGCTTTTTATGTAAATAAATAGAAAAGAGAGAGAGATTTATATAAAAATAATAACAGAATCCATAATAGATTAAGTGATAATGATAAATAATTTTCAAAATTGTTTCTTTTATACTCGACAACTTTCATACAGGTGAACTCAAGAGAATTTGGTCGTTTCTTCTGGAATCACATTATAAAAATGGATTAAAACAAAAACAAGAAATTTACATTTTGCAGACAAAATAGAAAATCTAAAAAGTACTAATGTTTCATTTATAAAACTCAAATAGTCAACAGATGAAGAAAAGTCCAAAGTACTTATGTTGCAACCAATTTTAAGTTTTGCATCCACACCACTCATCAAGGGCAGATAAATCTATTGAATTCATTAACAGATATATTGTTATACACTATATTAAAAAATGCTTATCAGATTTCAAACAGAACTCAAGCTTGTTCCATGCCAAAAAACACCATCATATGTCAACATTTAAATGCTCAACATGACAACAATAAAGTTAAATAGTTTCATCTTATATTTTTTATAATTCCACCATTACAAAAAGTATTTGTAGAAAAACACAAGAAAAATGAAGCCAACAAATCAAGCATATTTATTTCATCTACTGGCCTGTACACTCTAGAAAACTTATTAAACAAAATGTATCCTATCATAGGATTCATACATACGTCGCCCTCTGCAGGGGAGATCACCATCAGCACTGACAGGTATACAAACATGAGTATTCACTAAAAATAACATTAGTAGTAATAAAAATATTCTTTTACACTATTTACACTCAGACTATTACTCTCATTTTTGTTGCTGTGATCACAATGTTTTGGTCATTGTGCCCATGGTCTTCTTCATGCATATATCGATCTGGGTAACCTACAGGGAATTCCAAACTGTACCCTTCATTTAATCTACACAAGTAAATATACACCTTATGAAGGCCAAAGGGCACAATGGCCAAAATGTTGTGATATCCGATGAGGATAATACTTCAAATGTCAATAGTGTAAATAATGATAATTCCTTGTCCCTGAAATCATTGTAATATTCAAAATTATCAATTATTTACTTATTTAAAACTCATATATATATATATATTTTTCTAGCAAAATAATACGAGTTCTCAAAGACTTTACTCTTTTTTCTTTTTTTCTTTTGATACTATGAAATATGACTGAGTACAACTTAGATTGGTAGATTGTTATAAGTGTTCAAGTCAAAAAGTCAGAGAGAAAAAAAATTATCAAGATTTGATTCATAAAATGGAAATACCCTTGGGAAAAGTATGAATATAAGATGTAGTCAATATTGAATGAAATAATAAAAAAAAAAAACTTTTATAAAAATCATTACATGCATACAAAAAAGTGATTAAGATTTCAAATAAATGAAAAGCAATATTGGGTTTTGAACAATCCTGATAAGCAAAAATGCAAACCTCTTCAGGAAACACCTATCAACTAACATTATAAATTTTATTTTAATTGATTGGCTGATTGATTTTGTTTTATACTTATCAACACTTTCTGGGTTATTTAATGCAGAAACACATTTTTGGTTTGTTTTAAAGCATATGAACCTCAATGGGTTATTTAATGCCGACAAGATTTTTATTTTGGTAATATTTATTTTTCAGAAATGTATTGCTGGTAATATTTTTCTTTTTCAAAAATATACTGCTGGTAATGATTTTTTTTTTCAGAAATGTATTGTTGGTAATAATGTATTCCTGTTAATAATTTTTTTCCTTCAAAAATATATTGTTGGTATTAAAACCTATTTTTACACTTTCATAGAGGGGTTTAACTGTTTGCCCATAGCTGGGACCCTAACAGGTGCTACTACCCCAGGTCAGAGTGGACCTGAGAACACCAGCAATTAAGAGGTGGTTCTATGCTCCTCAAAACCTCCTGATCAGAGACCTTACAATTGGATGTACCCAGGACACAACACATTTTTGATTTGTGTATGAATAATTATTTTGTTTGCAAGTCAATATTCTATTAAAAGTTTTGGGGATACATATAACAATACAGTCTGTCCTATTATTCAACCCATAGCTGAGGGGAGAAGAGATGGATTCATACTTTTCCCAAATATAAGTGAATGTAATAAACTCAATTGGAATTGGAACTCTGCTCTCTGATTAAACAATCCACGTTTACTGCACCTGGTATTCTCAAGCAGTCACCCATCTAGGTAGTGACCAGACTTGAAGTTGCTTAACTTTGGTGAGCATACGAGAACTAATGTTTCAATGTGATATATCCATAAGCAATTTGGATATTTCAGCCCTTACAGAACACTATTAATATTTGAGTTAACAACAGCAATATAATACTACGTATGCTTTTAGTAATTAAAATAAAATTCATTACTAGCCATCCTCAACAGTAGCTGTTTTGTTTTTCTTCTTCTTCATCATACCATGTGACATATTTGTGTATCATGGTCATTTCTTTCTCAACAAATCAGGAATAAAAGCAAACACTGAAAATAGCTACATTACCAGAGCTATTTATATTGCCTTAAATAAAACTGTAGAATGGATGCACTTGAGCATCAAATGTTAATAAAAAGCAGCAGGGAAATTTATGACATTACTGGCAGAAAGACAGTTTTTCTCATTAAAGTGCTAAAAGCCCAATGTTCAATTTTATGAGAATGAACTTGAAGAATATCAACAGTACAAGTTTATCAGGCAGATGACAAAAATCAATGTCCGTTTGTCTGCCCACTCAAATGGAAAATGGCACAATGCCATGTTTAAAGTGGGAATCATATGTATACATGGGTTTGGTAAGAAAATTTTCCCAGTTTCCCTCATTACAATATGCCAGGCATCAGGGGTTTCACCATGATCTTCCCTCTGTTAGTGCAATGAGAGTGTGCTGGTGCTGTCTGGGGGAGAAAAGGAGACACAGGAGGTGAGTATAAATGATTATGACATTGTAAAACCAAAGACAGAAAGATCTAATCTATTTGTTTAGTCCTAGTGGAAGGGAAAGCCTTCTCACTACTCTATCAGTATTTCCATGGCATGTTTTTCAAAAATCCTTGACCCCCCCGCCCCCCACCCACTATGAACCTGAGCTTTGCAACTGGGACTCACCATGACACATACACAAGAATGACTCATCCTCATTCTCCTTCGTATTCCATTAGTAAAAAGTATGTTCCATTCAGACAGCTTCTTTGCAAGAACTGTTGCTTTTTGACAACAGACTGCTGGTAGAATATTTTCCCTAATCACTACAATCTTGGCCACTTCAAGTCTATATTTAACCATTATATTTCTTGCATACCCTCATGAACTTCACTTCTTGCCTTTTCTTATGCTCATGCAACATGCAGTAACCCTCAAGCCTTGTATTGAGTGAACATTAGTATAAAAATAAAAAGGATTCCATTATGCACTCAATATTTGATATCATACACAATATGCAACATATCACAAGATGCACAGGAGTATTAACAGGAAACTTTAAGTAACAAAATTCAAATTTGAGTAACTAATTGTTGGTTAACTTATAAATATAGGTATCTTCTTAAACTATTATTTGAAACTTAAACTATTGTTATTACTAATTAAATTTAATTTAAACTGTTGTCATTAAACATTAAATTTTAGCAAATACTTTTCAGACAATCTCTGAATTAAAACTTTCCGAACTGTTATTTATGTTTCAATATTTGGCGTTTTGTTTCATTGCTTACTGACCTTGTGTATTTGTAGACGTGTTTGAACATAGACTAGAAGCACTAATATTGAGAAGAGAAAGAGGCTGATCAGATCGAAACTGACTGGCAGGCCGGCTGTTTCTGCGCTCAGGATCTGGCCGGGGGGGACGTTTAGTTGATAGCTGAATGAGAGAAAAGGACACAAAGTTTACAATATAGTTGTCACTAGCAAATGAAAACTGACCACTTCAAACCCAATGATAGGAAAATGCTCAACATAGATACAAAGATATTTCTCTATATATACAGATGGTTTAAAGTTATTGGTTCTTATTACTTGCAATTTCACATATAAAAAGTAATTTTCTGTCACTGAATTGGTTTCAGTTTAAAAAACTAATGTACAAAAAAAAAAAACAGCAGTCAGTTAAGTGCCATACATGATACACATTTGGGCAATCATGACTCTTTCAATTCATAATTGATTAGACAGATTTTCCCCACAGTAGGCTACCATTTCTTTCTGCAGTAGACTGGTTGCCAATTAAAAAAAAAAGATACTTTACTGAAATTAGAATAAATTTATTTGAAAGTCAGTTAATAAGATGCTGAAGTTGTGCCTACACTAAAATTATTTTACAAGTTATAAGACAGAAATCCTATAATCTAAATCTATTGTCTACTTTTCAGTTACATCTTTCTCTTTTATTCCATATTTATTAAAAATAAAACTGATAGAAAAATATAACAAAGGTTAATGATTTTCTTAAAAGCAATTGAGTTCTTGGTTGTATAATATTTTATATAATACAACCAGAAAAAATCAGCTGGTATACAAAGCAAAAGACAAAAGAATATCTGTTTGATTTTAGATTTTTATCTCAAGTAATAACTGAGTGGTCCTATTTCAATGGCAATTCGTTTAAAAATAAGTACAATACAATACAGCTAAAGGAAATTCACAAAATTTTAGGTGACCATTTGGTATTAATTTGTGGCAGGGGGTGAGGTCATATTTTTGTTACTAATGATAAAAACATAAAATGCATAATATGTAAGAAAACCATCATAATTTAGAGGTTGATAAAGAATCTGCTATTTAAAAAGCTGCCATCAAATTTGAAGTGGTAGGATTTGCTCTAGTCATCATTTGATTCATCACAGAATTTACAAAAGCTAATATTAAAAAAAAAATTCATCCATACATTAATACTTCAACACATATCCTCCTGAAGTCAGTTTAAATTGACATCTTTTTTCCATATATTGTGATGATTTGTTTCAAATTTCCGGTTTTTCCAATTTCAGATGAAAACTCGGAAATTTTCACTTTCCAAAATTATCATTTATAGTTTAGGTATATGGAAAAATGGAAGGAATTGGTGTCAATGCCAAGAGGATATGGGTTACAGTTTGCAAATGATTTACACATGTATCAGATTTCCCAGGACTTAGATAATCTAAGACACGATGAAATGTGTTCTTGCAAGTTCAATCTTTTAAAACCCATAGCACAATAGGAAATCCCAAAAAGTCATAGAATCTCTTCAATATACTAATAAAATGTGTTAACCTAAATTACTTAATCAGAAAATACAACAATCTCTTACTGTCAGCCTAATCTTGCAATCATGAAAAGTCATCCCAAGGATGCTATATCCTACTAACATGCATTATATATAATGTAATTAATTAATAAATATATCACATTCTTTTTGTACAGCCTCATTCCCAATAGCCATTACACATGATGTCATATTAAACCATTTCAAATGTCCAACTTCCCAAAGAATACCAAGATGCAGACAAAAGAATTCTAACTACCACATTGGTTCTTGATAATAACTACAAAAGTTGAAGGTACTTGAATAAAAATAACAAAATATGAACTTGGACATTTTATCCACAACTCACAACTTTATTGCACAATACTCAAGATCCTATTGGAAAATTGGAAAAATATAATAAAAAATTAGACAGACAGGCTGTGTTGGTTCTTTTTAATCAAGCTTGTTTGGAGATTTTATATATATATATATATATATAAATATTTTGCAGATTGAGACAAGTGGTAGGGATGGAATGTTGCCTAGCTGGAAATAAGAGTTACTTTTGAAAGTTTAAATCAATACCTGTGCCATATTATTGTGTTAATTTAACAAAATACATTAATAAAGTCAATGTACACATCTAAGTAAAACTAAAGTTGAAAAACATATGAGATATGAAAAAGTAAACAATCATAATTGAAAAATACAACATTTGATGCCTATGACAAATGTCGGTTACACCTTTAACTATCATCTTCAATCATAGGAATGGGAAGTTGTTTTAGACAAAATATTTTCAAAGACTTTAACAAGTGTGCATTTACCTGCTCATTAAGCTCAATCAACTGTTCAGCAGAATTACGTTGACTGCTTGAGGTACTACTGCTATGATCTGAGACCTGGGAGGCCCTCTTTATAATGTTCTTGAGTGGTGTGGTAAGTGTTAGACTGTTGGACCGTTCCTGATTAGCATTGGCCACTTGAACACATGAAATGGATCGAGAACGCATGGTTGGATTGCTCCGAATTGTGGGAGATGAATTACTTGTATTATTTACACTGCAAGTGAAATAGGGAGAAAAAAAGACATTGAAATAGATCAACAAGTTCCAAATGACTAACATTAAAATGAAAATATATTTAATAACTCAATTAAAACATTAACAAACAGTATAAATATTCAATAAATGCTTTTCCATTTAACCATTATATATGATGTCACTTTGATCAGATTCCAATTTCAATTCCGGTGATCTGAAGATGCCAGGATTTAGTCAAAATTTGTTTACCATGCTAATGCCCAGTTCTTGATAATGACAGAATCAAAAGTACTTAAACAAAACAAAAAAAATGAACTTTGACAGTTTATTCATAATTTCAGCCCTGATAGATAGGTATCAACACTGAATGGCAAGAATTGGTTTCATGCTTAAATACAATCACCAAGCCATGTGGGTGGAAGAGTAGCTCATCTATATATGTATGGGAAGGCAGGTTTTATAACCATTCCACTAACAAGCTGACAATTACACTTTAGCATGATAGAGACTCTTGCCATCCAGTGTTGATATATGTGTCTTCATTAAAAGCAATTTTTCATCAAATTGAAACAATTAGCATTAAACATTTAAATTTTCTTTCAACTTTGAATAAAACTGTCTATTATGAAATGTTGAAACCAAATTATTTTTTGGAAATTTCTAAATAATGAAATGTTTTCAAATGTAGACTTGACATCTATTTATATGAAAGGAAAAAAAAAAAAACTGAATATAAGGATATTTTAACATTAAAAAGGAAACCAACTTATTACTTACAAATTTAAGGCAACTAGTCATATTTAACAGCAAATCATGGATATTTATATTAAAATCTTAATTTTTAATTTAAATGTTTCTAGAGCTGAGAATTCCATGTATGCTAATCATGATACATAATGGTCAATACATAAATTTTTAAAAGTTTTGCTATTACTATTTTCTTTTAGAATAATGAAACTTAAAATGACCGATAATCATAACCATGATCATTTAAATATTTTTTTTCATTTTGTTTACGAAGGAGTTAAATCTACAAGATTTGCCAAGGAACTTACTCTGACATGCCAGCTACCGATCCACTACTGTTCCGAGATGCCATTGACAACGAGGACTGGTTTCTTTTTACTGAACTTGTAAATCCTTTATCAGCAATCTGAAAAGAAACAGGATAGCTGAAGTGATCTCAAAAACAAAAAAATATGAGATTTTGCTAGATTTTATTAAATATACTTTCTTTTTTTTTAGTTACATTTTTATTAGTTCAAACATTATTATAGTGGTTACTCATATTTGAAAGAGACATCCCATTTTTATTTTAAACAGTGTGTATTATGTTTAACAGGCTGTGCATTCAAGAAATTTTAATAAAGAAAATGTTTATGGTGTGATTTCACAAATGTGCATGTCAATAGATGTAATGCAATGTCATGTTTAAAATAAATATATATATAAAAAATATTATATATATATATATATATATATATATATATAACATCTGTCAATCAGGTTTTATTTTTTCTCTTTTTCAGCTTCTTGCTTTCTTGTCAAATACAATCTTCAAAAATAAAATGCACCATCAATCGTCATCTATCTTCTTGAATCTTGTTCTTTTTCTTGTCCTTTCTCTTCAGTAAGTTTTTTTTATTTATTTTCTAGTGATAAAACATTTACCAGTGATAAAACAATCTGATTCACATTTTCGACCTAGATCCAAATTAGGCATTTATTTGGTGCTATTTAAAATACTTTTTTGCAGTTATTTATACAACACTATGGACAGATGAGTAAAATTATGTTTTCCTACAAAAAATCTTATTTAACTTCAAAGATAAAAACTCACCCTAATGCCACACTCCTTTTCAATGAGAATACACAATTCCGAAAACCGTTGCTCCATGTGGGCTTGCAAGGGTTTTAGGTTTTCAGATGCACAACGTTTGTGAACCTGGAGGGCTTCTCGCAACAAAATACCCTGGAAATGAAACAATAATAGAAAATGTAAATTTGCAGTCATTTTGACAAGAAAAATAATAATTCCTGAGAAAAATAAATTAATTACATAGAATCAAGTAACATCTACAGTTTTTAAGTAATATTTCTTGAATGGGAAGTTGTGCTTTGAAAATAAATAAAGAAATGATAACCATTAAACACTTACTGAAAAATACCAACTGTAAATTTTCTTTTTAGTTTAATGAGTCATACATGATAAAATGAAATAGTGTGAGAATCTTTTATAATTATCATCATAATTATAATTTTATAATAATTTTATAATTATCATCATATTTGTTTAAGATATTCTATGAATGGGCAAAAGAACATAAGCAGGATTTAAAAATTAGTCAACCTTCACAAGTATTTTACTGATATTAGCTAAATCTATATCATAAAATAAGAACTGATTATCTGTCCGTTAACAACTAGCTGTATGTGACTTTGCATATGCTTATGCAATATATGTCTGTGTTGCACATGAGTGACTTGTGACATTTAATGTACTTTCAAATACATAGATATACATACAGACACAATTTGACCGAGATTGAAATCAAGACATTGGAATAATCCATTCACCTCCCACCCTCAACCTTGGGCCAAGTAATAAAAGTTGTAGACAAAAAAAATAAAAAATTAAAATATAATTTCTTTAGATTCTAAAATAAAAAGCATACATATACTAATAAAATTTTATTGAACATATTGGAGTAATAAATAGAATTATTTTTCTTTTTTTCTTTTGTTTTTTAAAATTCTGTAGAAATATTTTTAGGTCTGTCACTGAATTAAAATACACACACACACATGTGTGCACATCTTTTTGAGTAGGTACACATCTACTTATCATCTCTCAGTTGTATGTCTGTCCTTGGACAGAGTGCACTGAGGGGCTTGTCTGTCAAAGGACAGAGGGGCAACTGAGAAAATTATACTGAAGAGGTGCCCAGCCCTGGGGAACAGCTTCCCAAGGCCGCGCCCTCCCATTGCACCAGAGGGAGGGATCAGTGCTCACACTGAGGTCAGCGCAACCGACAGTTGCAGGGGCTGAGGGGAATTTTTGTTCCTGTCCCGGGCGTATGGGCTCAGGTCCCCACCTAAAAATAGACCTTGTGTCACATCTCGTCCTAGTGGGGGGGACAGAGTAAATACCATACAGGCACACAAAATTTGAATGAAACTGAAATGGACATCAGTATCATGAGTATTAATTCCCTTTTGTGTTTGGCAACAACTCCTGGATAATAAGAAAAAAGTATAAACTGAAATGTGCAGCCCTTTAAAATCATTTTTATGACTCTTTCTGTATTTAAACTAAGCATATTTTATTTATATTTGGACTATTGTTCACATTTTTGTTGTCATCAACAAAGATGAGGACGTTAGTCCAAATGTAAATAATAACTCCTCATTCCAGAAATTCAGACAAATATATAAATATAAATATTTTAAACGAATAATTTTTTTTAAAACTGGATCATTTAGGCATTAGCAAAGTAGTACTAAACTAGTTAAAAAAAAAAAAAAAAAACCTAAAAGAATTGTATAGGAGATTACATTACCTGGTTTAAAGTAAGTTGCTTGAGTTTGCTGACCAATTCTGTAATGTTTCTCTTTTCATCATTGACCTTCAAATATTCACTAGAATAAAACTCCTAAAATAAAATGAAACAAATATAGATACAATATTTTTCCTTTTTTTTTTAGGGAAAATTTAATTTTCAATTCAAACATTATCTTTTAATATAATATTAAAAACTTTAACAGACATATGATGTTAAGCATAGTTTCTTTTTGTGCTGACATTTGGGGGGGGGTCTGAAAAAGATTTCGGCCGAGCCTAATTCCCAAAATCTGACAATGACCAAAAATCACAATCAGATTTTTTTTTCAATTCCTTCTTTTCAGCAACCTCTTTGATATAATGTAATAATAAAAAAAAAAAATAAATAAAAAAAATGAAGAGTATAATTACTATAAAAATTTATGTGGAAAAAAAATAAATAAATAAATAAAACGCCCTTTGCTTCTTGCTATAGTAAAGACATTTCCAACCAATGAGGTGTTTGATTGTAATAACAATGCCTGGTCCAAGGAAATAAAAGGATGAAATTTGTAACCTGAGAATTTTGAAAAGTAGAGAGAGATGTAAGTCAGTAGAGAAAGTACCCTTAGCAGTGAATTGAGAAAAGATTTCATTATATTCTGAGATACCTAAAGCCCTCAAAGAATTCTGGGACAACTTACAAAAACTTCAAAACAGATTATTTTGAACACGTTTGTCTAAAACAAACACACAACCAAAGCAAATTTTCCTTAATGTTAACTCACTCTCTTCACTTAAATTCGACAAGAAGATACAAATTACTGAAAATTTTCCATGAATAACAATCATCCTGCAACTCTTTCCATTCAACAAATGGGTGCTTCTGCTATGTCAATCTACCACCCACCAAATGTCTCAACTGAACTTGGCAACTCTACATTATCTTTTTAAAAGGACCATCTTCAGCACTTTGTGAACTAAAGTGACACTTTACTCTCTCTACCAAAGAATTTCTGCTACTACTGTAAATCACCATTTTTTTAATGCATTTTTTTTTCAAATTAGCTTAATTTCTTTATGCACTCAAAATATTTTCAGCAACTCCTACATGCTTTTCATATAAAGAAAATTTTTTGTAAATAAACGGTTGTAGTTTCAATTTCACATTGAATAAGAGTCCTTTTTTATTGGACGCTGAAAGAGTTAGATTTTTTTTTTTTTTTATTACACATGGGAAAATCCCCATATTACATAGAAAAAAATCCTTGATTTTATCCACCTGTACAAGATGAATATGAAAATAAAGATTTATATCCATAAAGCAATCAGTATATTAATTCAGTAAGAAACTTGTGGGAATACCAGTAATCTATAATATCAAACAACTTTGGTATTATTCAAAAACTAAACTTGCCATGTTGTTTTTAAAAATAAAGTTCAAAGAACTTACTGTTTTAATACCCTAATCTTTACTTTGAAAACAAAAAACTTTGATTAATTTGCACTGAGATGCTTTGAAGCTTATCTTTAAAATGGGGAAAAAAAAATGTAGAAAAATTACTTCACCTTGTAATTAAGAATTCCTTTGTTAACAGCTGGATCCACAACACCATTTAACAACATGGTTAATGCATCTGGCCGTAAATTTGAATCTTTATTGTGCTGGTCAATCAATGTTCGTAATTTCTTATTGGTGCCCTCCAGAGTTTCAATAGCAGTCTCCAAGGGACTGACTTTCACCTAAAAGAAGGAAAAATCCAATCAAACTTTTACTGCACCAATTTAAAGTAAATTGATGAGGGAACCACATGAAAAATGGATTTATTCACTACTTACCACTTCAGTAGAAACAACTGGGAACCATTGTAAAATCCCTGGAAAAGGATGAGAAGTGACTAAGATTGTTCGTTCCAACCACATATCCTAGAAATTAGAAAAAAAAAAAATTTTGATTATTCTTCATTTCTTAAAGAATTCTTTTACCATCAGTAATATTTTATGATCTTTCTGTGAAATCCAATTCCCAAATTAAGAAAAAAAGAGACTAAAACTCAACTGATGCCTTTGGTTAGTTAAAAAAAAAAAAAAAACAAAGCACTAATGTTAACTTATTAATGTTACTTATAATAAAATCAGACAATAATAATTAGAGAGAAGGAAAGATCTGGATAAATCCAATTAATAACTTCTGAAAGAAGTGGATGACTTTTATAATGTAACTTTCAAGCTCTTTACTGATTTTTCAATCAATTTTTTACTGAATGAATTTCAAAATGCAACATCCTTTTTTGCAAACAAATACTTACTTTTACATCTGTGACACTTTCATCAAGACGTCGAGAGTAAGAGAACTTTTGGATCTCATTCACTGCATAGTACCTTAAATATTAATAATATGGATTGAAATAAAGACAAAGAAAAAAATACAGAGACAACATCACTTTCATGTTTGTCTATGTATTCAAGTAAAAATGCTGAAAATTCTTGACCTGACCTATTTCACAAAATCTAACTATACAGATTCTGGGGTGAAAGACTTTTTGATTGGGTCATAACCATGACGTACTATAGAACACCATAGTCATAATCAATTCTACACCCACTCAAGAGAAACAGAGTGTGTGTTTGTCTGTGTGTGTTTATTAGCCTTATTCTGTTTGTGTGGATAAAATTATCTTCAAGGACTGAAAGTGTAATTTAGTACCATTAAAAAATATTTCATTTGTAGACATACCTATCTAAGTCTACATTAAAGTTTAAAATAAAAACAACAGAATATTTTCAATAATATTCAATTAATTTCAAATCCATCATGGTTAATTGCTCAATTTTATCATTTTTTCATCTTTACCTTGAGAAAATAAAAGTAGCTTAAAAATATTTTAGATATAATAAATATAATTAATTTAATTTTTATACAATATTAATTATTATCTAAATCATCCTGTACTTTATATGGTAAAGAGATGATAAATTCACAAGTTTTCAAAAAAGGTTTGATGACTAAATTGAATGAAAAGTTTAAATTTTTTCTTCGCTAAATATCAACCAAGCTTATGGGAAACTTTTACAAAGTTTTATATCAAATAAATACATTCAGTTGCTAAATGGTATTGTATTAAATCTAAAAAATACCTTTGTTAATACTTTCTTTGTTAATGGTAAATATTTTTTCTATCAATACTGACAAATTTCTAATAAAATAGAATTTTGTAGAATTTTTAAAAAATCAAATCTGCTGATACAATTCAGAATAATTTTTGTGTATAGAGAAAATTAAAAAAAAATAACTTACTTGAGAATTGGTTCACTCACAGTCTTATTTTTGAAATGTTCTTTAAGGTCTTGGATTGGATTGACAGCATTAATTTGTAAATCTTCATAGTTGTTAAGAAAAATGTTAGATTTCTAAAAGAATTATCAACTTTACATGACATAAGCATAAATAAAAGGAATTGTATTATGAGAACAAGATAACAGATTGTACAGAAATGTTACTTTTTAATATGAACAACATTGGGATAAAAGTAATTGCATATTTATGAAGATTTTTCAATTTTTCAGAATGAAAACAAAAAACATGAGGCAGAAGCATAAACATAAAAAAGAAAAAGTTTCTTCTTATTGAAAGAAAAATCATTATTGTACCATTTTGGCTTAAAAAGAAAATTTTAAAACTTCAGTTATGAATATATGTTTCAGATAAATACTTGATGTAATTCTAGAGAGTAGGCTTTAACCAATTAAAAAATGGTTTATTAAAAAAGACATTGAAACTAATAAAGTTGATGAGAGATTTATAAGTAAGGACTAGAAAGCACTAAATAAATCTTAACAGGATACATTGTTTATTAGACAAAGTGATGTCTTCTCCTGGGGTAGATAGAGTTTTCAACAACTGGAAAAAGAGAAAATAATACATTCTTATTAAAGAGATGCAGATGAGTATATTATCAATACTTTTTTATCATCAAAAAAAAAAATATATATATATATATATATATATATATATATATATTTACTTTTAAAATTTTATTGAAATTATTTTTAAAAAAATGTAATGTTACCCCTTAGGTACCTAATAGAAGGCAAGGGCTTTTTTTGATGGAAGGGGGATTTTCTGACCATCCTTATTTTGCACTTTTTCCCCAGAGCTAAAACAGGAAACAGTATTTTTTTTTAGGTTTTCATTTGTTACTTGCCTGTTTTTATGATATACACTGTTGAAAAGTAATGTTCCATGGTTCTTTTTTTCTTTCCAGAATTGCCACATTCCATTCTTGATTTTCTGCCTAACTTTTATTAAGATCCCCCCGACCCTGTGTTCATTGAATATTGAGAAAAATTCTACCCACCACAATTATTAAGACCATCACTTATTTTAGAAAATAAAGAGTAGCTAATAAGATTTAACAATGACATAATTGATTGATAGTTTACAACAGAGCCAAATAAGAATAAATAACTAATGTTTTTGATAAAAAGAATTTTAAATTTAAACACAAAACCCTTTAAATAATCTATAAATTTCTCTCTTTGTCTTACCTCAGCATTTGGGAACATTGTTTGAAGACGAGCACTAAAGTCTGATAATCTTTCATATTCTTTGCCTCTGTGAATGTACATTTTGTTCTGTAAAGACATATAGAGATTAAATTTTTACTAACATATTTGAATAAAAAAAAAAAAATTGCAAAAAAGAAAAATTGTACATGAACACTATTCAATTTAATAGAAATATTTCATAAACTTCAGTCATTACACAATTTCTTTTTTATAAAAAACTTAGAAATGTAGAACAATAACTGGGTTACTTAATTTTTGTGTAAGAATTAGTAGGTAAGTTGTTTAAATTTGTTTATGCTTGTATCTGATAAATAGACACGATGGACAATTCAATATAATTAAACTAGTGGAATTGGTAGAATTACTGAATTAGTTAGTTGCATAACCCCAAAGAGATTCTGGTGTCCTTCTTGTCCACACAACTTTGCCATTTCTTCCTGCCAAAGGTAATCATTTCAAAAGTGGTATTCCAGTGCCTTTTCTGATTTAGACTCTTGGGTGATTTGCCACATGGTATTTTGACAAAATTCTTGAACAATATAAAATAACATTTTTAATAATTTTCTTGTTCAATTGTTTTCTTTTTTTATTTATTTCTTTGAGTTGCTTAAGACAAAATAACATCAGTAGTGGAGTTGCTTGATATTCAGTTGCTAATAATTGAATTGCTTATAAAAAAAAAAAAATCATTTACTAAAATGAACAAAATTATATAGTCATGAATAATGAGTGAGGACACTTTTGTATCTTTTTTTTTTTTTTAAAGTTATGATTTACTGACGAAGAATTTGTAAAACCTGTTCTACGAGATTAAGAAAAAATAATCAGGTGGTTTAAGATTCAAAGCATTTTAATATTGATTGTTGTTTGTTCTTTTCAATAAAAATATGGTTCAAAGGCAAATGGTTGAAAACCAATAATTTAAAAGATTTTCAAATTATACAAAAAGAAAGGACCATCAATTCTAAGACAGAATGTATGGTTATCAACAAGAGGAACAATCTAAGATGAATGCAAATTGGAGACACTAAAATCAAGTTAGTATGAAAATTTAAATATCTGGGAAGTGTTCTAACAGATGGAAAAAATGATACCAAAATTCAAAGGCGCATTGTAATATCAAAAGTTGCCTTCCTAAAGTTAAGCCAAGTATTAAGAAACAGGAAAATTCCATTAGAAACAAAGATAAGAGAACTAAACTATTATGTAATATCAGTCCACTTTTATGTCAGTAAATCTTGAACAATCACAGATGAAGAAGAGACTTGAAATAATAGGAATATGGTTCTACAGAAGAATGCCAGGAATACCATGGACTGAACTATGAGAAAGTTTTAAGGAAAATAAAAACAAAAAGGACACTTATACTTAACATCAGAAAGAGACAGTTAAAATTTCTAAGACACATAATGAGGAAAGATGGTTTAGAAAATTTGACACTCACAGGAAATATTGAAGGCAAGAGGGACAGAGGAAGGCAGTATACAATATGCCTAACAAGCTTGTATAAATGGATGGTAGAAAACGTTACTAAGGGATACAAAGGACAGGAAGTTGTGGAGAGTCATGATTACAGACAGAGGAGGACACTAATTACAATTCCATATCCTTTAATATTTTGACATTCTTTTAATAGTTTTCACATTACAGAATTTATATTTTAAAATAGTGGGTCTTACCTGTAAGAATGAAGGGTACCCTTTACCATAATAGGCAACACGAAAGTACTCTGGAGGGTGCCGATCTTTCTCTTTTTTCATGATACTATCATATAAGTCTGCTTGTTTTTTCTAACCAAACAAAATAAATATATTAATATTTACATTATTACAATTAAAAATAATACATTACTAACAATATCTAAAAAGTAAGATGCATAAAGTTGTTTTTTTGCTGTTGCTTTTTCTTCTATAGAAATACCTAAAAATGTAGGAGAAATTTTGCTTGAGGATAAATATTAAGATGATGACTGTTTTCATTATCGGTGGATAATGAAAGAAAGGTTTAAATTTGTTTTTAAATCAAGGTCAAGGGGAAGCAACTCCCATTAACAAGAAGACGTGTAGAGTTTTATGAATTCAAACTAAGGAGATTGAAAAGATTTTGCAGTGAAAATGCGAAAAAAAAAAAAAAAATGCAGGAAAAATACATTTTTATAAATACAAGGTATTAATCTATTTACTTTTGTAGTTATATGATAATTCATATGAACATATAGGAAACCTTAACATTCATTAAGATTTATAAAAATAAAAAAAAGAACAGTCAGATTTATAATACAGAGTTCTTTAGCATTTATTTTTAAAAAGTGCTCAATACACAGTAGACCATAATATTATAATTATTTTTTTAAAAATACATATTCATCGTGACACTGAAATTATCATGTTTCAAGACCAAAACCTAAATCTTAAACAAAACTTAAAATTTGAAATTTAGTTGCATTTTCAAGCGATGCTGAATAATAATAATAATAAAGCTGCATCACTTGAAAATGAAACAGAACTTCAAATTTTAATTTCAGATTTAGGTTTTGGTTTCAAAACGTGGTAATTTCTGTGTCACGATGAATACATATTTTAAAAAAATAATTTATATATATATAAATTTTGAATAAAGAGTTTTTTTTATTTACTCTTATATAGTCAATGAAATTTTCAGTGAAAAAAAAAAAAAAAAAAATATATATATATATATATATATATATATATATATATATATATATATATTTTTACTGAAAATTTCATTGACTATATAAGAAGAAAAAAAAAACCTATCTTTATTCAAAATCTGTTTTCTAGACAAAAGAGGTTTCTGGTATAAAAGCTAAGCATTTAAAATAAAACCACATACGAATAAACAGTATAAAAATGCACACAGAGCAATAGTGTCAAACAAGAAATGTTAACTTTATTAATTTATATTTTTAATTCATAAATCGTATGATGAATAGAAGTAAAAGTTTAATATACAAATTTCTTAACAGCTGCAACATAAGAGTGATGGTATAAGTGAATAAATATACCACCATTTTGTTTGGTTGAAAGCTTTCAAATGTTGATCAGCCATTAGGAAATCTAAACCAGTGCTTACCAGTAAGGCACTCAAATTTTCATAATCAAACAATTCATTTTCATACTGATTTGCCAATTCTTTACACAACTCAATTCCTTTCTCCCAAATCTGAAATCAAAAGAAACCAAATAGAATAGAAAACCTTCAAAGAAATGCTATATTAAATATAGAAAAGAAACTACAAAAAATAAATTATATCCAACAAAGGTTACATTATTTTCCAATCTTTTAATTGTAATTCAATGTTCCATTGATGTTCAAAAATATAATTAAACTAAAAGAATTACTTGGAATGATTAAAATCTAATAAAATTAAACAGAGTTGAACACACACACACACAGCATAATCAAAATGGTAAACTGTAACATTTAAAGAGAAAAAACTAGACAAAAAGAAAACATGGATCAAATTTGTAATTTCATACAACTACTTTTTAGGCTTACTACAGCTATGTGTAAATAGTTAAACATTAAATATGTCTCTTAATAGATGACATTCAACAAATTTTGTGCCAAAGTTGCAAACTAATAAAGAGTTATGTCTCACATTATTTAATTAGATATACTTAATCCAAGTCTGAAAGAATATATGTTGGATATGATTGTTTAAATGATTATTATTATTATTTAAATTCTAATCATATTATCCATTCCAATTAAAGTTGATTTATGGTTCAACATATTGACTGCCAGAGGTCAATTACAAAATATGACTTCAAATGTCAACTTTATAATAACCAATTTATGGAATAAAACATTTTTACAAGTTGATTTATATTTTCAACTGAAGTCTTAACATTATTTCCACACTAAAAGTTTCCTGGCAAATAAACTCATTGCTGGCACAAGATAACTCTTAGTTAACATCATAATAAAATCTGCCATTGATGAATTATCTCATGATTGGCAGTCAATGTGTTCAGGTTGATGAAATTTACTCATTTTGCTAACAGTTATGAGAAGACATAATTAGAACCTGAAAGTCTGAGAAAAGCAATTTCAAGACATGCAGAGATTACAACCAAACCAGGAGATAAAAAAAAAGTTGTTTTTTTTCTTTTTCAATTGTTTCTTAAATCAGTTGATCCATTCAGCAGCTTGATTAGGGCAACCAATGAAAATGCTCAAGATAAAATAAAATGGATGAAAATTTCTATTTTTCCTCTAAAACATTTGCTAACCACTATTGCTAGTAACCTTGAAACTGGTAAACAACAAAATAAAGGTATCCCATTCACTAAACTTTTTTCATACCAAAGTAAAAGCAATAAGTTTTATCCATTGTCAGTAATAACAGATGAAACACCTTTGTGCAGATCTGCACACAAAGAAAAAACAAGCTGATATGAAAACTTGATTTTTAAGCTTCCTTGCATGATCAAATTGTTTAAGAATACAGCAAAAGAATTTCTATAATGATCAACTTCTTCATTAAAAAAAAAAATTGTATGAATATAAAAAAAAAAAAAAAATCAAATTTAATACCAAAATAACTGAACAACTTTGTAAGCTAAATTGAAAGAGTAGTGTTTCTAAACAAGCAACTATGTGAATTGTAGTTACTAATAGACTATATTTTTATCATCTGTATAGCTAATATCAATCTATAAACAACCAAACTCAGTAAAACACTAAACATCCAATAATAGATCAAAGTATATCAAGTGTTCTATGCATTACTTACCTTTCCTTGCTCAAAGTATTTTATTGTTTCACAGTAGAGTTTTTCTTTGAGTTCGGATTGTGTTTTACATTCATGATACTTGGCACTTTCCAACATGGGGGGGATAGGATCACATGACCACTACAGTTTAAAAAATAAACACATGAATAGATTATGATTTCTATAGAAAATTTAATTTAGAATTCAAAAAGCAAATTTTTAAATACTTTGGTAGCATTTTAACACTATAAAAAGGTTGATAATTTTGATCAACTGACTCATTATGATCGCAATATAGAAAAAAAGATATTCAGTCTTTCAACCTTTTTGTGGCTAAAACTGTCATTTTATTTATGTTACCTTATAAATTAAAAAAAAAAAAAAAAAAAAAAAAGTTAGTGGGAGGTATTATTACTTACATTTCCAACTGGTTAAAAGTAGAGTTGCACTAATTAATCAGTTGATAATTGGTAATTACTCTCAATGAAAAACTGACAAAAAGAAAATAAATTAATAGAATAATGAAAACTATGGGAAGATTATTTAAATTCATTCTATGCCAAAGTTAACAAGGGGATTTTTAAGCCAAAGATGAAATATCTGTGAGGTAATAAAGAATAAATTAGCATGAAAACTAATTAATGAGCAAATGCTGATATGACCAATTATCAATTTCAGGCAATTAATTGGAGCAACACCTCGTTAAAAGTAAATAATGCACTAACCTGCAGCAACTTAGCATACTGCATGAGGGCACAGGCAGCTTCCGTGTAATTATCACAGTCTAAGTGGAGATCACACAGTTTATGGAGATAACGGACATACATCTCCTGGCGATCTATCTCTTGGTAGAAATTCTGAAAAACAGGGGAAAAAAAAAAGATTTTATGAGATTACTGAGAAAAGAAGTCTAATTTAGTTCAAAACAGAATTCATAATTACAAACGATGAGATGGTTTAATATTTTTTTTTAACTCAATTTGAGGTCCCCTTTCAATGCTTTGTATAAAACTTGTAGCCTAAAATTTGGTGAAATCAGAGCTTATGAAACAAAAATAATTCTTCAAAAGAATTAATCTTTATTATAATAATAATAAAAACACTCAAATTAATACCCAAAATTGCCTATTTGACTGGCCATAATAGAATTTTTACTGTTAAAAATTACCTCAGTGAAAAAGTGATTACAGAAAAGTGATTTACTCAAGTGCTCCCTCACACTTCCGTCAACCATCGTGGCATCCCAGTAACAAGAAAATTTTCTATTAATACATCTGGCAACTGAACAGGGAACAGATGTGAATTTATGTCTTCCTCAAGGGCAGCAGTACTTGATGGACACAAGGTGTCTCAGCCAAAATTCACTCATTACATCACCACATATATTAATATCTATGGAGGAGAGGTTTGAAAAATTTTGGGCCTGACCAAGAAGCCCTACCCAAAAATCATCAGATCTGTGGTCAAATTTTGGAAACTAGGCCAATAAGTGTTATGGGAACTTACCTATAATGGTAATGGACTCTTCCTGACACTATAAATAATCTGCCTCTCAAGAGGTATAATGAATGAATGGTGTAACGAGTCGTGACAATATTAGTTCACTCTAAACCAGATGGACAGTCATTACTAACACTGTGGTACGAGGATATTGGACCATAACAATAAGCTTCAACACCTACTTGGGAAACATGAATGATAGAAGAAACATAAAAAAAACTAATTCAAAAATCTAACTACAAAAATACAAAAAAATAATATGGTTACAAGGGCACAAACAGCTTGCATGGAATTATCACCGTCTAAGTGGAGATCACACAGTTTGTGGAGATAGATTTCCCACAAAATGTCTGGCTATTTTGATGCAATATTTTCATGATATTTTGAAACTAAATGATTTTATATGTGTAGAGGGTTTTTTTTATGCAAAATTTATATAAAGCTCAAAGAAATCATATCACACTGTATAAAACATTGATTCATTCGTATTAATGATTCTTAATGAATTGGGTAAGAATAAAAAATTATTTAACTTTGTTATCATACCAAGATATGTACAAATAACCACAGTTGCCAAAATCCATTATCAAAACTACAAATATACATGAAATTATATTTTTAATATGAAAGTTAATAAAAATATGATAATAACCCAAGAAATAATTACTACTATTGCTATATTATAAAGATAAGTGTATCTGTAATCAAAATTATCACCTGTTGATTAAAGAAAATTTTCAAGAAAGCTGTACAGCCTGTCCAAGAGACTTACAGCTATTTTGTATATATTGTTAGTCAAACTACTGGCAGTGAGACACCACTGAATGAGCTTTTTATATATATATATATATATATATATATATATATATATATATATATATATATATATATATAGAGAGAGAGAGAGAGACACAGAGGACAGCTTGAGTCACAACTCAAGTTTCACTCTCTCAGGATCTTCAGATGACTAGAACGCCTTCTTGAAACGTTTAAGATTGTAGGAGCCAAGGAAGCATTCTCTCAAGAGTCTGTTCCACAAAGTAACAGTTTTGGGGGAAGAACTTATCTAAGCAGAACTTCATCCTTACCAATGTAATACAAAGGGAATGAGAATGATTTTACAGCATGTATGCAGCATGGCAGGTCCTAGCAGTGAAAGTCTGAACTAGGGAATGTAGTTCATTTGAACATTTGACATAGTAATAATGACAGAGTAGTGAGAAGCTAGTAATGTTTCACCTGTGGGATAGGGGTTACAGGATTGAAAATAAGTGATAACCACAAGGCCTTGTAATTACTTTTGAACTCTGTCAAAGCTGTTCAAAGAGGATTGGACAGCACCAGCCTAGATATGGCAGCAATACTCCTTTCTTGGTATAATCTGGCTCTAACAAAGATGGCAGTATGAGCTAGGTATTTTCTGGAGTGATACATGGAACATTCATTCTTCCAACATCTTTAGCAATGGTACAATTATATTAGTTTCATTTGTAGTCTGGAAGGAGCTTTAGACCCAGTAGACATTCTAAACAAGGAGCCTCATTGATAGAATGACTGACCACCAGGACTTGAGCAAATTTAGAGCCTGCTCCAAGCTGATCAAATGTTACTAGCTATACTGTGTGACCCTTATATCTAAAAGAAAATCCACACAGACTTATACAGGTTAGCATAACATCCTCTCCATCCAAGTCTGTCAGTAAACACACACAAAATCCAGATCTGACTTCCAGCAGATTTTGGCTTTCCAAACCTAAAAGTATTATTGCAATGCCATACAAGATTAAGAATACAATGAAGCATCTAATAGAAATACCAAAAGAGGAATTTGCAGGATGCTTTTCTTGTGCAATCCCAAGGGGAGTACTTTGAAGGGACTAAGGTGCTATTACTCTAGGCTGTGTACTTTCCGGACACGCCTTGTATATTCTGAGAATTAGCCATGCATAAAATATTCAACATTACCAATAAATTGACAATGCAACTCATTCGATGTTCCTTTACTTCATCCCGAATAATACTTCGATATTCAAGTAAATGCTGAAGTAATTTCCGAATCATTTCCACAAACACTTGACCCTGTTGCATCATATACTTATTTTTTTCAAATAATCCTTTGAGGCTGGAAAAAAAAAAAAAAAAAACATATATAAGTCAAAATAGAAAAATAATTTCATTTAAAAATGTACGGCTAAATAGTTATTGTGATCTTTTCAATAAAAGTATGACAAGCCTATTCTGTCTATTCATAACCAAAGTCTAAATGAAGCAGTCTTTACACTGTTTAGAGTTTTAAATTTAGCCAATTACTCATAAGCGATCAACAAGAAATTATACATCATTTGGAAGGCTTTTAGAAATAAAGTTTTTAAACATGCATAATGACATTCCAATTGGTATTATCAAGTTGTAGTAAAATATTGCATAAAAAATAAAGCCATTATTTGCAATTATATTTTTTATTTAATGTATATTTATTAAATGCATTAACAAATGTTAATAAAAAAAACTTGAATCAACAATTCAAAAAAAAGATATGTGTAATATTAGCTGTTTCACTATAAGGAAACATTTGGCATTCACTGACTGACTAGCCAGTACTGCATACAGATGAAATTGATAAAATCTTTCCCTTAAAACAATTTTTCTGACAAATAGGTTTCTCACATTCAGTAGCTGTTATTGTTCTTCCCAGTACTGATGGGGGTTTCCTTCTTAACCTTTTGTTTGAAGTAATGTGGAATGTCAACATCTTGATTGTGCCATTATTTTCTCTTCCAGTATTGTACCCATTTTTTGTTGCTGCTGTTGATAGTCCTCAAGTGATGTGGTTTCTGTTATTTGGTACAAATAATGTAATTTTATAGAGCCAGTCCACAAGGTTCACATGTCAAAAGCCATTTTAACCAATGATCTTAGAAAGTGGTTGCATTTAGATATTTCTGAATGGATTTGGCACCATGTATGACATCCATGTGAACGTCTCAATCTGACGAGGCTATTTAAGTACATAACTGAAGTTTTCACATTGATGTTTTAGTTCTTTTAGCAATTTGCAATGTTGGGCAAGCTACCTCTGGTGCAGCCTATTCTGATATTTAATTTCCTTTACTCCTATACTGAATTTATTATAACTGATCCATATGCCAAGGTATACTGTTCATGAGGGGACTATGAGGGACAGGAGGAGGAAAAACAAGATCATTGTCTTCTATTCATTTTTGGAATGTGGCATGGAATCTTTAAATGGTCAGTGCCCATTTCTTTACATCTGTGTTTGTAAGCTTTACTGTTAGTTCATAATTATCTGTTTTAATTCGGTCATTTTGTGTTTCTAAAAACAACAAGTAGCATTTTGGGATCAACAGTCAAGATATTTGCTTTTGAAAACATTTTATTGGAAGTTTGAAATTTAAAAAGAACCCTGCACAAAATAAGTACTTTGCAGTTAACTAAGAAAACAATCTCAAAGAAAGGCATTTTATCAACAGATCATTTTGAAATATAAATTAAGAAAAATAATTTCATTATATATTCATATCAAAGCCAAATTAGCTCTATTCTGCAAAAATTTAATTCATAAAGCTTATTTAGATTGGATAGGATACGAGGATTATATTTTTAATATAGAATATAGAGAATTTCTTTTTAAACAAATCACTATACCTAAAATGAAAATAATTATTAGTACAAATGAAACTTTTAATATACCTAGAGACAATATTTTATAAATATCTTTTTAAAATTCATATTACTCATAAATCATAGACAAAGTAATCACTTGTTAACAAAAACTGACATAAATGAAAATGCACTAATTGTTCTCATTGACTAATTCTTTTTGACTGAGCTGCAATCAAAAAATTACTGAAATATCAGTGAAATGCAATGAAAAGCTTAACTTACGTTTCATACATTAATTCCATGTACTGTTCATCACCTCGGCCACCTTCCACTAAAACATCTAATTCTGTGATTATTTGATTTTCCACCTACAAATAATAAGTAAACAGTCAAAAGAATATCTAAGAAAGCCAATGATAGACCTGGTAGCTTGTAGCTACTGAGAGACCTTGGAAACAAAGTTTTTCAAATCATAAGATTTCTTTTAAAAGGAAACAATATGAAAACAGTGCAAAACTACTGAGGTATATATGGGAACACAATAAAATGTGTATGAACATCTGAGGTAAGATAGTAATTTGTGGACAAAGGGTTCAAAAAGATATAATCTGTATTTAATTGATTGCGCTGATAAAAAAAAAAGAAACTTAAGTTGTATTCTGTGTTTATAAAAGAAACTAATAGAGAAACAATAAGAAAAATGAAAAGTTTAAATAAAAAGTAATGCCAGTCAAATATCATATTTGCCTTAACTGAAAACAAACCTCTTTAATTTGGCACTCTGTGGACTGGCAACTCCCATGGTCTGGCACTTCTTTGAAACCATTAACAACAATTAGTCCATTGAACAGCTACAAGAACAGCACCATACATTGTCTACAACTTTCTGCAGTAGTCAACAGCAACAGAGTGTTTTGGTAATACAGACTTGCTAATTTCCTATACATGATGCGATAGATAAATTGTCATTTAAATTATGCAAAAATGAAAATAACACCACTGACATCGCATTTTAACAGATATATTTACCAAAATTACAAAAATAAATAACTTGAAATATTAAAAAAAAAAAAAAAAAAAAAAAAAAAATCACCATTGGCTTCAACCATGGCCTCCAGAAGACTTCAGAATCTCCTGCAACTCTTCTGGACAGTCTCCTTGTTTAAACTGATGAATGCTGCAATAATTCTTGCCTTCAGTTCATCTTTGGTGTTACAAGGAGTTTTGTTAGTATCTCACTCAACTGAACACCACACATAATAATCAAAGGGGTTGCAGTCTAAGGAGTTAGGTGGCCAGAGGTAAGGGGTGATGTGGCTGCAGAAATTGTCTGACAGTCATAACTGCATTCTCCTGCTTGTGTGGCAGAGTCCTATTAACAGACATATGGACTCCCAGTAGCCATCCTGTTGACCCAGGGCAGTTGAGGTAGGCCTCTATGTTGAGTCTGAGGTCCTGTGGGAAGATGAATGGAGGTCTAATGTCGTCATCACTAGTGATCACGCCAAACACCTATTAGACTCATACAACTCTTTCAGAATCCTCTGCACTGCCCCTAGATTGACACTTAAACATGCTGAAATATTCACGGCACGAAAGCAGTACTGCATGCAGTTTCCCAGTTAGTAGTGGAATGAACTGCATCACAGTGCTCTTTTTCTCACAGATTGTGCCCAACTCACCCTGCTATACTGTGCAGTTGACAAAATCAAAAACAAACAACATGTATGCGCAAAATTAAAAATATAAAATGGCTACAATTTACCCATTGCACCCTGTATATAGTTTCATATTTACTCATTCAGGATAATAAGTATGTATTATTTTTTGGTTTTAGCCATTTTTTTTAACCTTTGTATTGCATGAAACAATAAAACTCTTATCTGGAAGCATTAATGATTGTTTTGTTTTCCGTTTTAAGCTTTGCTCTACTTTTGATAACACAGCAATATATATGTGGACTGAGCGGGCAAGACTATGTTTGCATATGAGTTTTTATAGGGGTGATTTGTTACCTAGCATTTATATGGCCTTGTCCCAAGGGTGCCAAATTAAAGATGCTGGACTAGATATGCAATCAAAAAATTAACCTGGAAAAAGTTATGCTTGTATCCGCGTCCTGATACCTGCAGGAACTCGCACTGCATCATATCAAAGAAGATTGGAATGGTAGCCTTGCGTAATTCTGCAAAAGAAATTTTAAAATAATACTTATATGAAGGAGTTTATTTAAACAAAAACTATAGCATATAATCATTAATAGGGCAATGTTCTACAGGTATACAAATATGTAACAAGTTTATAAATTACAAAAAATACCAATAAAGCTTTAAATTTCATATGTATTTATTTCTTATTCTAACTTTAAGTTACATGTACTTTTTGATTTTCAAATTGCCAGGGCAAAACATTCTACCAAATTTTCTAATGCATTAACTGAATAGGATATGCATTTGTATGGGGCATTTATATTGAGGAATGAGATTGTAAATATTAAAGTAAACAAACATGTCAATGAAAATCAGCTCTTAAAATCAAAACATCTTCCCTCAATACAATAAGATTATTCTTTTAAATGTACAACAAAATCTGGGATAAAATTGTTACTAACCAGTTTCAGGAACCAATGTCATTTCCAAAATTTTACCTACAAGTCCTGGAATAAAGCTGGATTTGTTTTGACCTGAAAAAAATCCAAAGCCACTATAAAAATAATAATGTTATGACAATCAATATTCCTGATTTGTAATTGAAATAAGAGACTCAAGATTTTCAGATAACACAACACTGATCACCAAAAATCATTCTTAAAAAAAAAAAAAAAAAAAAATTAATTTTCTACAAGTGTAACTATTTCAAAATTTGGTTTTCTTTATATAGGTTAAAAAAAAAAAAAAAAAAAAAATTTATCCATGCAATATGAGTGGCTCGAAAGAAACAGAGCCAGCTTTTGGGATCAGCTCACTTTGGCTACTTAATTTTCTCTTATGTTGGGTAAATGACCAAGTGAATGTGTTTTGAATGTGTTAATGCAGACCATAAAATACTATATTAATTACAGGTTTTGGGCACCTCGGTATGGTGTAATGGTTAGCAGGCTTGTCTCGCTAAATTATTTATGACTGAATGGTGAGTTCAATCCTCACTGGGTGCCCCATACTTTCGGCCTTGTGCCACATCTAGGCTACGCTTGGAAAATCACTATTAATTACAGGTTTCTACTGTGACCAATTGATGCCATAAAATGTGACATTATGCATTAATAGTTGAGAAGGAGAGAAATCCATTATTCCAATGTCTTATTTCAAACTGAGTCAAATTATGTATGCTTGCATACATTAAATGTCACAAGTACATGTAATTCACACATACACAACATAGACACACACATATACATTACATACACACATGCATAGACACATGGAGACAGTGCAAGACAATGAATCAGCTCATCATCCCAACCCTTTGCAGATTATTTAAAGACTGAAAATATTTTTAGATTGTAAGAATTGGGGGGGCAAAATAGTTTAATGATACAAGTCTTACTAATTATTAATTAACCCATAACTGTGAGGAGAAGAGGTGGATTCATGCCTTTCCAAAGGGTAATTGCACATAAATGGATATAACAAACCCAATAAGTATTGCAACTTGGCTTACCAATTAACAATTGCGAGCCGTTATCCATTACACTAGCTGTATATCCAAGCTTACAGCACCTGGTATTCCCAAGTGGTTACCTATGTAGGTACTGACCAAGCTCAACATTGCTTAACTTCAGTGATTCAATATGATGTGGCCATAAGCCTTTGTGTCAAATTAGGTTAGACTATACATCTACTTTCAATAAATAAGACATGTTTACTAGTTACCATCAGCTAAAATTATAAAGAAGACACGGTGGAGTAATGACAATGGCAGCTCAGATTGAGGAATCGTAGAGCTGAGTTCAAATTCCAGCTGGATCCATTACATTCACTTTCATGCTAATACCCTTGGGAAAGGTATGAACCCTATTCTTCTCCTCCCAGCTATGGGTAAATAACAGGATTCTGGGTTCTATAGCCTTATACTTCTTATAGCCTATGTTATTTCTTTATGCACATATTCCACTACAAAAATCAGCCTTACATTCAGATTCTGTGATTTCTGGATCAAATATATAAAAAAAAAAAATATTTAATATTCCTTACAAAGTATACAGATAGAAATACATACTTACCAAGATTGAACCACATACTTCGAATTTCAAATCCCATCTCGCGTCTCATGTCTTTATACCTAGAAAAAAATAAAATCAGCATTATTCATTTTATCAATAAACAAAAATGTTATAATCTTGTCAAAATTTCCTACAACTTTCAAAGGAAACAAAACAAGTCTCCAATTTATGCTCTGCTGCTTATAAGATTTTTTGTCATTACTACTACTTCATCCTTATAACTACTTTTATTTGATCATGGCTCCCCACAACTTCCTATGCTTTGTAGCTCTTAGTAAGGTTTGTGTTTTCACTATTACTTCCAGTCCCTGTATGGTCATCCATTTAAATAAGCTTAAGTGCCAGCACTCAATGCTTTTCTCTGTCCCTCTTGTCTTCAATATATCCTATGAGTTTCAAATTTTCCATGCTCTCTTTCCTCATTATATACTCTAGAAATGTCAATTGTCTCTTTCTGATTCCAAGTAGAAACATCCTTTTTGTTTCCATTTTCTCTAAAATTTTGTCAGTGTTCACATGTTTGGTTCATTGTATTCCCAGGACCACATTTCTATTACCTCAAGTCTCTTCTCCATCTTTGAGAAGATTGTCAAGCATTCACTCCAATGTAGGAGCACAGATGTTACATAAAAGTACAACACTCTTTTCTTTGTTTCTTATAACTACTATAATGAAATTCAAGTTACATTTGTTTCCTCCTTATCATTAAATTTGTATTTAATAATCTCTATTAATCATCTGAGAGACCCCTTTCTGCCAACCTTCAGCAAGGCTGATGCCAACCTCTAGGTTAGTGACTCATTGCATCTTCTTGAGCTAACATTCTCTGCTGACATGAAGTGGAAAGAATACATAGAAGTAGAGCTAGCACTTGATTCAAACAAAATTGGTTCACTGTGTCTTGCTAGACAATTTTTCTCTTCAGAATCTATCTTACATATTGATGTCTACATTCGTCCATGCTTTGATATATATAGTCTCAGACTCCTGCTATATATTTAGAGATTCTTGATAAAATCCAAAGAAGAATCTGCAATATTATTGGTCCTGACCTGACATTTTGACTTCAGCCACTTTCTCACTGCCATAATGTAACTCCCCTTTGCCTTTTCTATAAATACTTTCATGGTAATTGTTCTGATGAACTTGCCTCTATGGTACCTAGACTTTATGAATTTAAGCACAGTACTAGACTGGCAACAAGTTCTCAAAAGATGTAACCATAAGTTTTATGTTAACAGTTTCTTTTCTCGCACTTCTCACTTGGGGAACTTTCTTCTTGCTTCATGCTTTCCAGCCAACTTTGATCTTTGAAATTTTAAATGCAATGTCAACCATTATCTACTGTCTTCTTAATTACTCTTCTTTTATTTTTCTTGCTCCGTAATAATGTTTCTTTCTTTTCTTATTTATTTCACAATCAGTAACCGCCCTTTTGTCTTAGTGGTTTTAATTCTTGGCTTAGGGTGAAATGATTAATATATAAACTACTAGTAATATACTATTTACCAATATGAACAAAAACTATAGTATAATATTGTTATACTAGAACATTACCTATTCTATTGTAATAGACTCTCCCACACATAATAAGTAGTAGTAACAGTCGCCAGTTGGGCTCAGTGGAGTTGAGTGAGTCAGTCGATGTCGGACGTTGAAGTATCAACCACCCCAACTAGATTGCTGCGTCATTAACTATTTTTTCAAGTTCCTAACGTTTTGTATGTCGGACCCTTTTAGGACCGACTTAGCGAAATACAAGCCTCCACTGTAAAACTACTTTACAACAAATATTTTGTTGAAAAATTTGTCATGGAAAGATAATGAACTAACCTTGAAATAATTTTTGTCCGTTTATTAGCAGAAAACTTTTCCAACTGCAGAGGTTCTTGGGTGAGGAATGAAACTGCACAGAAGAAGAAACTATTCCAGAGCTGAAGAGAGAATTTTTCAAATTAAAACTGTAATCATAAAGTGATTGGAGGTAAAAAAAAAAAAAAATCACTAACAAAAATAAAAAAATTTTTAAAAAAAAGTAAAAATTCTTTGAATATTCCCACCTCCCCAAATCATCCTGGTTTCCTAGAAAAGTTTTACAGGTACCTCATAAAACTAATATGAACTCAAAACCATAAGAGACTCATCCTCCATTACACCTAAACTGGTGTATTACCCACCTTCTATCTCCAATGAAGTCCAACGAAGCTGGAAGCAGCCCAGGACTTCACCTACTTAGTTTCTGGACAAAGAGATAGATAAAAGAGTTGTTAAGACAACCAAGCATTTTTTTTCTTTTTTTTGAAGAAACAAGAACTTTAGAATAGACATAAAAACATGAGTCAACAAGGCAATGGTTTAGCCTAACCTTCTACAGAGCTGAATCTTGGGTCATAGACAAGTCCTACATTTTCTTCCTTAAGCACTTCCATCAGTACTGCTTCCTCATCATTCTCAATGTGAACAGGAATGATTTCATTACAAATACCAAAGTAAACACTGTGAAAGTCTTCAAGTTGGACAGGCCCAGAAACATTTTAGCTATTCTACAAAAATATACCTACCATATATCCTAGTTTATAAGACACCTACTATTTTTCAAGTTAAAACGTAAGTTTCAGGTTATATTCACCATACAAGACAATGCCACTCCAAATTGTATTTTAAAATGTATTGCATTGAATTTATTAAATAAATTTGGTAAGCATAGACTTTCTTTTCATACAAATTCAAATGAAAACAGTGGGGAGATATTGTCAATTAACTACCACAATCTACAAAACCTCATGAGGGGGTGCTGTGTTTTCAAGTAGGCTATTACAGTAGCCTGAATGAGTGCAATCATACCACATTATATAAGGTTATAGGACACTTATTATAATGTGAATTGTTTCAGTAGAAAATATTTGTGTTAACAGTTACGAAAGCAGGGGTTAGCCTACCATCAAAAATGTCCCATACTAACAACTTACCATAAACCACAGGATTTAAGGTTCACATTTTATACCTGGAGTATAAGATGCCACCCTATCCCCATTTTTTAAACCTAGTACGCCAACATTTATGGTAGTTACTTAATTTGAAATTTTTATGGTTTGGTTTATTTTGTTTTACAGCTTATCATCCTCAATGGGTTATTTAATGCTGATAAGATTTTTAGGCTAGGTTTGTATGAATAGAATACGTATTCTTTGTAAGAAATGAGTTTGTAGATCAGGTTTCATTGACGTATTTTTGTAAAGAGGGCTTTTGTCAAGAGTCAAATGTATTACAGGAAAATTTTTTTTTTTTTTTTGCTTGTAATTTTACTATAAAAATCTATTTTTATACTTTCATAGTGTTTTGGCTGCAGTTTAAGAGTTCATTATTTACCCATAACTGGGATCAAAAACATGTGCTATCACCCTAGATCAGCATGGACCTGGGAACAACAGCAATTAAGAGGTGGTTCCACACACCTCAAAACCTTCCGATCAGAGGCCTTGCTGCCAGATGTATTTTATCGTCATACCCAGAAGAGAACTTTTTTTATGGCCACCAAAAGACCATGAAAAGTGTTTGAGAGAGAGAAAGAGAGAGAAGTATTATTATTGTACTTTCAATAAAAAATGACTGTAGCAATTAATGAGTCCAAGATATTAAGAAACTGTTAAACACTCTTTGCATCTAATGAAACATTAAAACACTGAAGCAAAGGATACAATAACTGATAAGCCTACAATATTTCCTGTCTTAAATATAAAAAAATAAAATGTCAAGCATACCTCATAAAGAAAAGGGCTGGAGAATTCATCATTGATTGTATGAGCAAAAAATCTTAGCGCACGCAGAATAATGCTGTAATTAAACAAAAATACATCAGTGTGAATTTTCAGAGAAAACTTGTGCTTCTTAGATTTTAACCAATTTGAAATAATTCAGCAGATGATGTCAAAAAAGAAATTATTTAGAACAGTGGTTCACAAACTTTTTTTCTGGGCTGCATTTTCAAAATTAAAATTTGTTCACACCTCAAATTTTATGTGATAAAAAGTACGTTTAAAAATTTAAAAAAAAAAAAAACAGATAAAGGGTTAAAGGGAGATAACCGAGTATTCGAAATAAGAACATTTTTATTGTTAATTCACCCCGTCAAATTAGCGGACTAGTTAATATATTCTCAATACTTGATATAATGCAAAAATATCACAATGAGAAAAACAGACAATAATTATTTATAACTATTTATACTGGAACTCATGCATGCAATTACAAGTAATCCATAATAATATTTTAAATTTTGAAATCATATTTATTTTTGGCATATGAACTTTTTGAAACTGTTTCTAAATCTTTGATTGTCCTTCAATCATTCTGCCTCACCTGCTATCCTCTTCTGCTACACCTATGAGGATCACCACACTGTTTGGGAACTACTGATTTGAATTCATAATTACTACAAAAATTAACATTTTCACTTAAATTTACTTTTTAATACTTACTGGATACACTATGTTAAGAAATCTTTATTTGCAGAAAATTTAGGCAACATTTAATCTTTGTGCTCACCAAAAAGTGTGCGAAAAGGACAGTTATTTCATTGACACTGATATTACTTTATACATTTTTGTCTCCCTCGACAATGTTAATTGTTTTAAAAAGTCATCATTAAAATTTTAATAAAACTCAAACATATGAAAGTGGATTTTTACATTTTCTTTATTCTTGAGAATTGACAACAAAGATATTAAACACTATTTATTAGATTGCTTATTTACAAGAATAATTTTATATTTACAATATTAGAAAAATATGTGGATCAACTATAATGAAATATTTATTATTTACCATTTTATAAAGAAATAAATCATGAAAATACATGTCTTTAGTCATAAATGTATAGAAATTGGAAAATTAAAACAAGAAATAACCTGAGATATAAAATAATCTGAGAAGAAAATACATAATGTCTGGAAAATTCATGTTTATTCAAATTTTCTTGTTTTATAGTTAATTGATATTTTTATAAAATTATGAATAAAAAACTTGTTTTCATAGTTATTTATAAGATGATAATTAATAAATATTGCATTATAATTGGTTCAGATAATTTGATAATTTTGTATACATTTTTGAATAAAGACATTTTTCAAATTTATTTCTTTATAAAAAGGTAACTAATGAATTTTTATAAAAGGTAAATAATAAATATCACATTGTACTTGGTTCACATTTTTTTTTAATTCTTATAATTACACATTGCCAAGGGAGTCAAAGTGTATACAATAATAGTGGTGTCAAGGGATTAACTGTCCTTTTGACACTAATTTTTTTGCAGGTTTTTTGCCAAACTTTATGCCTAATATCAAAGATTATTTTCATGTCAAAAACATTTCAACCATATGAAACTGTACCCTTAGCTGCCAAAAACAAGGGGTTATTTATAACTGCAGGGGGTCAGCATTTTTCTCAATATGCAATGAGGGAGTGAGACAGAAAAAAAAATATATTGATTTTAATTACATTGTCTTGGAAATATCAATCCATTTCTTTTTCATTCTAAAAATGAAATTGTTTTTAAAGTTTGAACATGCGAAAGACAAAAAAAAAATCTTATTTTGCACCTGTTCTGCAAAAGAATCATGTCGTTCCAGTCATCTCTGTAAACATTCTTGGTAATTAAATTACGGAGAACCATGAGAATTTCAGTAAGGAAATCTTGTAGATCACATCTGTAAGGGAAAGACTCAATGTAAATTTTGTAGTGATGTTCCGTCATCTGGCTGAGAATTGCCATCATCACAGCAACAAAATTGCCCTGGGAAAAAAAAAAAAAAAAAAATATTGAAATAATTGCTCAAGATATATTTGTAAGAAAGCATAATACAAAAATGAAAAGTTTTTCTTTTTTTTCTTTGCAATAATTAAAATTTGAACAGAATCTGATAGCTTGCATTCAAACAATTCTTTTTTTTTTTTTTTCTATGGAGTCTTTACTAATTACGCATTATCTTTTTAATAAGCAAACACCATAATGGAACTTTGAGATGTTGCTCAAAATAAAGAGCTAGTAAGCAGTATCCACTGAAAAATTGATAGTGCAAGGAGAAGAACAAATATTAGCACAGGGGTTCTCAACTGGCTGGGGGGGGGATTTCTGGGTTTCAAGGGGAAGGGGAAAAAAAAAATCTTACTTTTTCACAAGTTTCTCATTGACTGTAATCTTCATCAGATTAAAATTTATTTAAATATCCTGGCCTTTTTGTTTATTGAATAACAATATCCTGGTATTCTTTTGAAATTTTTCCTTATTGAAGTATGCTTCAGTTAATTTAATTGTTATGAATTAAAACAAATTACTGTACATTTATTAAAGTTTAAAAATCAATCAACATTTTCTATTTCTACTAAAGCTGTAAAACTCTTATAAAAATGATCCATATAAATGTATATGTATTAATATGGAAAAGAATGAAGATTTTCCATAATATATTATTTGGAATGCACCTTTTGAGTCAGATAATCTTGGAAAGCAGACATTCCAATTTCTGGTGAAAAGGGTTCATAGGACAAAAAAAAAAAGAAAAAGGTCAAGAATAACTGTACTAGCAGATAGACAATAATTATCCAAATAATTAAGAATGAAAGAACATGTACCAGAAATACAAAGAACAAATAACAATGGAATATAGGGAAAAATCTGCAGAAGCAATGGAAGGCAATATAAAAGAAACAGCAGCAGAGGAATTCAAACTTGACAACAAGGCTGCAGTAACAGTAGAGGAAGCAAGAACAACATTAGATCTTTAGGATTCCAAATTTTTAGCTTCAGGATTGCCCCACGGAACAATGGCCTAGGGCAGCGATTTCCAACTTGCTATAATTCATTCATTTTTCATCAAAGGAATGACAGCCTAAAGAATTAAAGCACTGGAATTTGGTGGCATAGTAATTGTGAGTTCAATCCCAAGACCAGGTAGTATTCATACAACCAAACTCAATGAATGAGTTGTAATAAAATGACAATTAAACAAGATATCTGTTGACATATACAGGGAAATGTATACAATCTACCTGCATAGATTGAATAAAGGGTTTTCAGTTTTAAATTCCCTAATCAACAGACAACTGAAGGCCAAAGAGTACAACAAATGAAACATGATAATAACAAAAGATAGGGACACTAGTCTGACCACAAATAATAATTACCCACTTCTCTGTAATCATATGATTCAAATAGTTTTAGTAATAAACATTTTAAAAATAGCATCTTCGGTATTGTGGGTCTAAAGCTGTGAGAAATTTAATTATCATTAATTTAGGGACATCTACTAATTTGTGATACCTAAGGTTTAAAATGAATTTAAAGAGCTTTTTTGAAACTTTCATTTTAGCTTTAACTGAAAGTTAAAAGGATTAAACTTACTATTTTCAGTAAGCAAAATACTTGAAATTGATTGGAATTGATTTTTTTTTGTTTGTTAAAATAGCTGATTAGCTTTTTTTAGCCGTCTTTCATTGCAATCTAATTCTTTGTTAAAAAATCTTCCAAAAATATACTTTTCTGGAACTTTATTTGACGAATATTAGCTGCTTTAAAGTATAATTACTCTGATTTGAAACAAATATTTACTTTAAACACAGAAATGAATTTTTAAAACAAACAGTAGATGTGTTTTTTTAACTAACAGTAGCCATGTTTTAAGTGATTCATGAATGATGACCAGTTTGTTGTTCTACAGAGACTTTATTTGAAAAACATATATTAAGAAAATGACAGGTGAGCACTTTTTTATATAGCTTTTAAGTACTCAGTAATCTTAAAAATGTAGGAAAATATTCTCCTTAATCTAATTTTATGAATGCTGATTTTAAATTTTCATTGCTCTTATTTTCTGATAATGTCATGTATGATCACCCATACTTTCAAAATGGGTAGGTTACATAATATTTCATATACATAAAAAAAATTAAAAAATTTAGTGCATTCAATTTTTGATTAGTAAATATAGTTTCACTTAATAACAATATGACCTAACACAATCAAAGTAATGTAGAAATTTAGAAGATTTGAAACTTTATAAATTATTCTAATTAAAATTTAAAAAAAAAAAAATGAAACAATTCTTGTAAAAATTCATTATTCATCAAACTTTTTCTTAAGACAATAGTGTCCTTAATAAATCTTACTTATAAAAGGAGTTAAAAGCTTTTCTAATTAAATAATGTCATAGGTTTATTGCAGTTTTTATTTTACGATTTGAATCAGATTTTCAGTAGCAGTTTGAGAAAAAAAAAAAAAAATTGATGATTTACATTCTCCAAGGAGTCCTGCTTTTAACTAATAAAACAAATTTTGTAATCAAAATTTAATTTCTCAAACTTTCATGAAATAAGTGGGTTGCAGGGGGTAACATATGTAAAAAAAAAAATATATTTTTATCAAGATTTTCTAAAACAATTTCATTCGTTTGTGAATGTCCTGAAAGATTCATTAAAATCAATTTTTGATTTTGCAAGAATTTCCTAGTCAAAAAAACAAAAAACAAAAAAAAACAAACACAAAAGAAGTAAAAGAAACAAAAATAAAAGATGGATACCTACCTAAGTAATAACCCAAAATACTCAATGCCTATAGTAAATAGATCGAGATGGAGCAGTAATACTAAGCAACAAAACAGTAAAGAAGTACTAGGTCTGAATTGTTATTCAGAATTTCTCACAATATCTGACAATTATGTTGTTAGCAATTCAATAACAATTTCAACCTTGTCTCTCTGTGCCATTTCACTGCTTAGTATATATTTTAATGATCAGCTACAAACAAACAGAAATTGGTACAAATTTGGTGACCAGCTTCCTTTGTTGGAAATCAATTAGAACAAAAAGAGAAAACCTGCAACTTACAACAAGATCCTTTTCCCAATCCATTCGTATAACTGTCTGAATCACTGTCCGTAACATGCGCTGAATCATTGTTGACAGATCATTTTCCTACAATAAGAAAAATTTTAAAAATATAAACATTCACTATTTATAGTAAGAAACAACTGATACAATTGTTAATTTTCTCTTACAAAAGAATATAGTGATTTAATAAACATGGTTTAGATGTGGCACAAAGCCACAAGTGTGAAGCACTCAATGATTGAGCAAGACAACCTTGATTATCTTTACACCACTTCAAAGTGCTCTACAAAAGAGTATATAAGATATTTACTGTAGCTAAACTAAAAATTCATAATACAACTTAGCCAAACATTAAACAAAAATATAATCTAACTATATATAAAATTCTGTGATTTTTGTTCTTCCGTCCATTGCACCCTCTAAAATAAACATACCTAGACCAAATTTTGGGGAGAAGTGCAAACAGATAAGGGGATACAAAATACAGTTGGTTTTACTAGGGTGTGTAGCTTAGTACAATAAACTTTCATTCATATTTTTTTTTGAAAAATAAATGTTTTATTATTTAACATACAAAATACTCTTGCCAATTTAATGATTAAAATAAATACTTATTTAATAAAAATGCAATATTGATTTTTGCATATATATATATATATATATATATAATTCTGGTAAAATATAATGCACAATATTAGTACTGTAAATATAAACACAGAGTAGAGTTTGTAAATCTCAACAGAAAATGTTAGCAATAACTTCAACAATACTAAATTGTGTTAAATGTATTTTAGGTTTAAAGCTCCAAGTTCACTACAGTGAATTCCCCTATGGAGCAATGACATCGTGAATTAAAGCATTGGTTTGTGAATTTGGTGACAAGTTATTATGAGTTTAAATCCAAGGGTCAGGCAGTGTATAACTGCACTCAGTGTAAATGGGCAAGCAATAGCTGAATAGTACTAAATAAAAATAAGGGATGAGCAGTGAAATGTGAACAGTCTACCCCACTAGATTAAATAAAGGGTTCAGTGCAGAATTCCCTGTAGGTTATCCAGATCGATATACACATGAGAAGGGCACAAAAGCCAAAATAACAACAACAAAGATGAGGACAATAGTCCAAATATAAACAGTGTAAATAATATTTGGGATAATTCTGTTCTCATCATTGGCATAAGTGATGAGAAAGAGAATGGTTAAGTGAACAATTCACGTATTCTATTCTCAATCGCCTTTCAGCAAACCTCACTTGGAAAATTATCTTATCACCCAGGCAACAACATAAAAGCTGATAATCTCAAAGCTTCAGGACATCATCTTATACATGCAACAATAATATATATTGAAAGATATCTCTTAATAATAATGATGATTATTTTCTTTTTGAAAATTTGAAAGTGGCCCAGTTATTTAAAACTAGCAGTAGAGCCCAGCATTGCCCGGGGATATAACAGTAAGAGATAGATCAAGTATCCACCATCATAAAGCCTGAAAAATAAAATTGACAAAGATTATTGTTTAACGTTGATGGACATGCATGTCTTAATTAGTTTTTTTTTTTTTTTACGAATTGGTCAAACCCAAACAAAAACATTGTTTTCAGTCTCTACTGATTGAATAGAATTTTATTATAAACAATTGTCTTGTAAATGGAATTTTTAAAGCATTCTGAGTGTAAAAATAAAGAAAAAAGTGTGCAAGACAATAAGAAACACTACATGCCAAAAAAAAAAAAGTGAAGTTTTGTTGAAATCAGTTGAAAAATGTAGGTAGCCTTTCTGTAATCTTTTAGTTTTACAATTTATGATTTTTACTTATTGAATACAGTAAAAAAAAATTATATTTTGCTTGTGGTGATTCATAATTAGAATTCTGATTTGAATATATTTTCCACTCGTTGTTTCTAATACAAAAAATATTAACTTTATTTGGGTTTATTAATTATGATCTAACAAATCTTATTCAATATTTTTACTGTATTCAATAAGTAAAAGTCATAAATTGTAAATTTATTTCTGTAATCTTTTACAATTTATGACTTTTACTTATTGAATACAGTAAAAATATTTGGACACCATGTGTATTTAAAGTAGTTTCCGGTTATTATTTTTAGTTAGGAGGACTTGTGTATGTTTAGATTTCATTACCTTTCCCTAAAGATAAAGAATTATCCGATGTTTGGATTCGTACAATCAGTAGAGATCGTTAGATTATTGTTTAAGGTTGACAGACACGCATGTCTTAATTTTTTTTTTTTCTGAATTGGTCAAAGCCAAACTGAAACAAAAACATTGTTTTCAATCGTTATGAGTCTCCGATTGAATAGAATTTTATTATAAACAATTGTCTTGGAAATGGAATTTTTAAAGCATTCTGAATATTAAAAATAAAGAAAAATGTGCAAAAAAAAAAAAAAAAAAAAAAAAAAGAAGTGAAAAATGTAGGAAATCCGATCCTATATATAAAGGAATACATACTTACAAACAACCTGGGTTTTTAACCCGATGTGAGTTGTCCCCCTTTCATTCACACAATGTCTTAATCGTGTTTTCAAATTGATTTTGTGCAAAAACAATTGTATTTTTCCCCATTTTTTGGCGCTGTTAGAACCACCGCAAGGTAATTTTATGTAGTCCTGGGAAGTTTTGTTGAAATTGGTTGAAAAATGTAGGAAATATGATCCAATATATAAACGTTAAAAACCCAGGTTGTTTGTGAATGTGTATTCCTTTATATATGGGATTGGATTTCCTACATTTTTCAGCCGATAAAACAAAAATTTTTTTTTTTTTTTTTTCCCACACTTTTTTCTTTATTTTTAATATTCAGAATGCTTTAAAAATTCCATTTACAAGACAATTGTTTATAATAAAATTCTATTCAATCGGGAGACTCATAACGATTGAAAACAATGTTTTTGTTTCAGTTTGGCTTTGACCAATTCGTAAAAAAACAAAATAAAACAAAAAAATAATTAAGACATGCGTGTCCGTCAACCTTAAACAATAACCTTTGTCAATTTTCAGTCTTTATGATGGTCGATACTTGATCTATCGCTTACTGTTATATCCCCGGTCAACACCAGGCTCTACTGCTAGTAAATAAATAAAAAAACAAAAAATACAAAACTCCTGTAATGAATTTTCTTTAAGGGAAATACTATTAAAAATGACAGACTTTTTGTATCGATTAATTTTGATGATCGGCTATTCCAAATTACTAATAATCTTTCTCCAAGAAGAAAATTCTGTCAGAAATTATCCAAAATTCATTTTGGAAGAAAAATACAGGAAATATGGTCCAATTTTTCAAATAGGTCATCATCAGGATAGGTAGAGACAATTGGCAAGTGTGTGTGTGTGTATGTATATATATATATATATATATATATACACACACACGGGTCTGGATCACTTACATTTCTCGTATGATAGAATATGTCCATTATGTCATTAAGTACCATAGCACATCCCTCCATTTCCCGTTCATTCTCCAAAAGAACAGCTGTGTGGGATAGGATCATAGGAAGCAAAATTTGCCGACAATCTAGAAAATATAAAGTCAGCCTTTAAGAATAACAAAAACAAATTATGATCAGTTGTAGCATCAAAGAAGGTTCATCACAAACTAATCAAACACAACATTGCCAAACTTGTTGTTTAATATTAAGACATCACTGATCACAATTATATATTAAAATTTCCTTTTATATTTTGTCTTTAACCAAATCACTTATTAAAAAAGTAAAAGAATAAAAATAATGGCAACAAACGTTTTGGGAAATATTACAATTTGTTAAATAATTCATTTAACTGAAAAAGAAATACTATATTTTTACCTCAACCAGAGAATGAGAAGACTTCTTTACACTTCTCACACTCACATATATTATATTATATTATATTATATATATATATATATGTATATATATATAACATTTCTTTTATACATGCGTCATTGAACATTGAATGTGACAGACAAGAAAAATCTTTAAGTATTTCTCATGTTCTTGCAATTTTCTTTTTGGAGGGGTGAAATGAGTGCAGAAACTGTCCAAAATTATTATTATCCAAAGTACTTTCAATCATTTTCAAAGGGTTCATTGTTAATCTTTTTTAATGTTTGTGTCCTAAGGTGTATTGTGTAGAACTAATAGTAACCCTAGACTATACAAGAGAATACAACCATTTTCAAAAGACACTCCAACATGGATTCATGGCTGCATTCTTTCACACAGCCTAGGGTTACTACTACTACTTCTACACAATACACCTTAGAACACAAACATTGAAAAACATTAGCAAATTTCTGGAAAATGGCTAATGAATTGGCTGAAAGCACTCAGAACAATAATCATTATGGATAGTTTCTGCAAAAAATTAAAAAAAAAAGATTTTCCTTGTCTGTCACATTATTTATATATATATAATGAAGTCTGTCTGAAAAGTAACAGGACTGGTATCACAAACAATTTATTTCAATTCCAAACAACTACATGGTTTCCCATCATGTCTAATGCCCCTTTCCATCCTTCTCTGACACACTTTCTAAGCACTGCTAGAAGGATTCTTCTTGGATGTCTCTCAACACTGTCATTTCGGCTCTCTTGATGACCTCTATCACTACAAAACAGGTCCCCTTGATCTTAGAGAAAAGAAAAAAGTCACACAGAGCAAGATCAGATGAATAGAGATATTATTCTCGTACAGCAATTTTCTCGGCCAAGAACTGCCAGATGCTCAAAGCGTTGTGAGTAGGTGCATTGTCGTGGCGAAGCAGCCATGATTTGTCCTGCTACATCTCTGGTCACTTCTCACACACTTAGTGAAGCAAACACCATAGGATCTCTTTGTAGACTTGCCGATTGATCATCTGTGGAAGAACTGACTAAACAATGCCCACAGCACACCTAGTCCTGTTACTTTTCAAACAGACCTTGTATGTGTGTGAAAAGTCATTTCTTTACCCATTCATGTTAAGCAGGATGACTTCTGTTAGTATCAGATGTTAGTTAATCATTTATCTACATATTTCCCTTTCATATCATTCAAAATGTTTCAATGAGTGTGTTTGAATTATTTGAATGAATGATGAAAACTCCATACATAGGGAAGTTAAAAAAAAAAAAAAAGTTATTTAACTCTCAAGGACATTTACACACTGTTTTCAATACAATCAAATAAGAGATGTAATTTCTTTACAATACAAGTATCTCACCCAAAAGGAAGAGTGTTAAAGTGAAAGAGACAGGACTTCCATTGATATTTTAAACTGAATTTACCTGTTCGTTTAAACAATTCACTATGAACTAAATCATTGATACTCTTCATTTTTTGCTTGGACAGTCTTTCAGGTTGCATATTGTCAAAAAATTCAACTAGTAGTTTACTGAAATTCAAGAGAGAAAAAATATTATTCAAATAATCAGCACCTTTATTTCTTTTACAAAGTTCCACATATCAAAAGCTATAAAGAATATGGAAATTTTTTGTGCTACTGAATGAAATCCTTACATGTCCTAACAATGCAGTAACAAGTAACAATCAGAGTAAAAAAATTTATATATAAATTTAAAATAAAATTAATTTTGCTAGTAAAATTTACATTACTTCAGATTTGCCTCTTTTAATCAATAGCAATACAAAGAAACCAACTTGTATAAATTGCAGATTCATACATAAAATTAATTATAAAACAAAAAGAAAAAGGTAACATATACTTTCAAGTATATTTTCTAAATATTACAAGTCAGAGCTAATATATATTACAATAAATAATATACATTATAATAAAAAGCTAAAAGCTTCAATTTACATTGACAAATTTATCAACGTTAATTTCTAACAAATGAATACTGTATCAGTTTTTAAAACTAAAATTATAATGCAATATCTGTTAATAAGAATAAAATAAAATAAAACAAAGTACTTAAATATTTGTTTCAAGTCTATAAGTGGCTTCAACTTAGTAGTCAATATTTAAAACACCAGTATTACTAACACTCCAATAAATACATAGTGAATTTGATATGTATTTCTTTAATATTAAAGGGTGTCCCAATAACTGGGATAGATTTTAAATGTGAATTAAGTTTAAGCATCTGTCTATATTTCTGAGATGAGGTATTATTTACACTATTTACATTATTCGGACTATTGTCCTCATCTTTGTCGCCATATTTTGTACGCTCCGGCCTTCTTCAGGTGGTTGGAATGTTGAACTGAACCATTTATTTCACTCACTGGGGTAAACTGTTCTAGTTTCACGTGCCATGTTTAATGGAATGTCAGTTATTAGTTATCTCCTGTTAATTCCCTAAGTGTGAGTTCAATACCCGGTTAAGGCAGTGGAGAACTTGGATAGGATCCAAATGCAGAAGTCACACTAAATCTTCTCCACAACAGTCTATCACCAGCAGCTATCAGCATTTCTGGTATAATCATACCTGGCCATTGTTTGTCATTGTCCAACCAGTTTTTATGTTTGCATCCTCTCTTATGTCCACCTTCAATGGTGCTTTGCATGATGGTCTTGTGCAGCCTGTCGTGCTTTGTAATATATCCAAACTATGCCATTTTTCTCCATCTGAGAGTGGTGAGAAGAGGTTCCTGGTGATTCACAAAACTACCAGCAATTTGTACAGTCTGTACTTTGTTTGAAAGTTGATTTTGTTCCTCCATATTCTTGCCAAATTGCCATGGCTGCAGCAATCCTTTTGCAGATTTCCAAGTTGCAGGTACCATCTTTAAACAAGATTGCTCCTAAGTATTTAAAACTGGACACTTCATCAAGTGAATTCCTATTCATGGTAATGCTGATGCAAGTGTTACTGTTTGTGTCATCCACCATTACTTTGAATTTCTTGGAACTGACATTCATTCCATATGCTCATGCTCCTTCAAAAAGTTTGTTGGTCAAGTTCTGGAGCTCACTTTTACTACCTGCTATGAGGTCAATGTCATCTGCAAAACGTACATTACAGACAGGTCTGCCACCAATAGAGATTGAAGGATTATGGTCATTCAAGGTTTTTTGCACAATTCTCTCAAGAAATAGGTTGAACAATGTGGGTGAAAGCATGCTTCCCTGTCTCACGTCAACAGTTGTCTGGAAGAATCCTTCCATTTGTTTTTCCAGAAGAAGTGCACCAGTAATATCTTTATATAGGGCCTGGATGACTTGGATAATTTTGTTATTTACATTGAATTCCATAAGGATTTGCCAAAGACCGTCATGCCATACATGATCAAATGCTTTTTTGATATCAACAAAGTCGTGGAACATGACCTTCTGATGTTGCAGGTGTTTCTCTACAAGGATCCTACAATTGGAGGCTTGTTCCAATGTACTTCATCTGGTTCTAAAACCTGCTTGTTCTTCAGCCTTGGATTTCAAATGATTCAAAATGATACAGAACAGGATTTTACTAGGATGACTGATCAAGCTTATTGTCCTATAATTTCAACATTGCCTGAGGCTGCCGTTCTTTGGCAGGGGTGTTACCAATGACTTACTCCACTCATTAGGTCACTTTTTTGTTCCCATCTTCTAGCATAGTGCTGTTATGATATTGACAGTTTCTTTACCTCCATGTTTTATCAGATCAGAGGGAATATTATCCACTCCAGATGACTTACCAGGTTTCAAGCTCTTTACTGTCAACGCTTCTTTCAGTATTGACAGACTGGTCTCATCTTTTGTAGAGTGATGGGAACTTTGCCATATGGAGACATCTGAATGGAGCTGGTAATTGTATAAAACATCACAGTATTGCCCCCATCTATGGAGGACCTCATTACTGTCTGTCAGCAATTTACCATTCTTATCTTCTAGGACCATTGCTCTCAGGTGGCTGGTCTTAGCAAGGGATTTGAGATTATTCTAGGCTCGTTTGTTAGTGCCAGTAAACTTATCCTTCTCGATGGTCTTGCATTTATTTTGTATCTACTCCTTTTTAACTGCTCACATTTTTCTCCTCACATCACTGCACTTCCTGATATTAGGCATAGACCTCATCACTTGAGGGCTTATTTCCCCTCAGTTCTCTCCTCTTGTCACACAAATCCAAGAATTTATTCATGACCCACGGTAAGATTTTATTCATGACCCATGGTTAGATTTTCCTTTGCCATTTACCTAAAACTCAGCTGTTATGAGTAACGCTTCTTTAATGTGATTTGCAAAAGTGTCTACATCACTGTTAATTAGGTTCAGGGCTGCAAACTTTGGTCAGGAACAGTTGAATGACTTCAGGGTCTTTTGGTTTGTCAAGGTCAAAGCAGATGTGGAAGTTTTTTAAACAGCACTTAGTTTTCACTCTTAATTTAAAAGTTGTCATCACAAGATCATGATCGCTGCTGATGTCTGTGCCAGGAAATGCCCTTTTGTTTGCCTTGTTAATACTGGACTTATAGTATTGTGGAACTAAAATAAAATCAATCTGGTTATGGATATTCCCATCAGGTGAGTGCCAGGTTCCAATTTGAGACAGCTTATGGGAGTGGCCAGGGTGAAATGATAACTTCTGAGAAATTTCAGCAGTCTGAAACCTCTGTTGTTCATCTCCCCAATACCAAATCTTCCAACTCTTCCTGCCCAGTTTGTGTACGCATCCAGTCCTACCTTGGCATCTGAATTCCCTTATATTTCAAAATTATGTTTAAAAAAAAAAAAAAATAGTAGGAAAGGGAGGGTAATGTATAATTGTTGTAGATTCAAGCCTTGGATTTCTATTGATTAGGCATCCTTAATCTTGATTATAAAATTTGGAAATTTAAAAATAAACATCAAATAAACATTGCCAAGGGAGTCTCAGTAGTATACAGTAATAGCAGGGTCAACAAAATAAAAATGTCCTTTTGAATTTTTTTTTTTTGCAGGCATGATGGTTAAACTTTGCCAAATATCGTATGTTAGGGGTGAATAGATAAGCATACAGAAGTTATAAAGCAGAAAAAGAAAGAAAAAAAATCAATACAAAACCCAAAAACTACAAATAGAAAGAAATAAGCTATTCTTACCTGAGCTCTAGAGGACTAAATATAGTTATTATATGAGGTATTGTTGTCGTCATGTATTTCAAAGCAGCACCCTGAGAGAAGAAAAAAAGAAAAAAGCTGTCACATCATTTTTCTCACAAACTGTAATGGGTCAAGAAATTATAATTAGCCTATATATATATATATATATATATATATATATATATATATATATATGATTATGTTGAGTGCAAAACACTTTTTGTAGGTAATGACTTGAGATTGATGACTTTTCAACCCCAAAATATGTTTCAGCTTTAAATAACCCACAAAGGGTTGATAATCAGTAATAACACAAAAATCAATCTATCAATTCCCAAATTAAAAAAAAGATAATTATCCTGTACTCACCTGCACCAGAAGTGTCCTACTTGTCTTATAACGCATCATTGTGTTGATGGAATTGAGCAATTGCTTCAATGTAATTTCAAACTGCTCTCGTCCACGGTCAACATTAATTCTGAAAACAGTAGATTTTTTTTTTTTTCAATGAATTTTTCTAACAAATATTGTTTGATCTCTCACTAGTAGAATTGCTGCTTTCTTAATACATATGAGGTCTGATAAAAAATCTATCAGGACTGATACTATAAAAAGTAGACTACTGCTTAAACCAATTCGTCATTTTAATCTCCTTCAAAGTAGTCCCTTTCTGAAGACCCACACATTACCCAGCATCATTTCCATTGATGGAAGCATTAACTCTTTTTTTGGGGATAGCAAGCACCTTCCTTATTGCATTCTCTTGGATTTTCTCAATCTCTTGAAATATTGTTCTGGTCAAGTGGGATTTGATTTTTGAGAAAAGGAAAACATCATAAGGGCTGAGACCTGGGGAATATGGTGGTTATCAAACCTGGGGAATTTTGTGCTTGGCCAAAAACTGCTACCTAAGTCATAGTTACTGATGGAACATCTGTCATGTGGTGTGGTGAGATGACCACACTCTAGACACTTTCATCCAAACACTGCTATAAATAACAGAATTTAGTGAGAACATTATAACAATGTGTATGCACCACAGAGTTCAAGATCAAGCTGTACCAAGTGGTTTCACTTCACATACTATATCAACATCCCCAATATTTTTGATCAGCTCTCATATTATCACAAATACATTTCAAAGGATTCAATAAAAAAAAGACACTTATACACAAGTGATAATGATAATGTGTATGTAGATATCAATAAACAATTTTCAGTCTTCTTTAAAATAAACTTGTAGTTAATGATTAAATAAAACAAAGAAAATAAAGGATACTAATAATATTTCAGTTACTTCTAATAATTATGTAAATATTAAGAAAATTTCTCAGGCATTAATCACTTACAGATTGTTCAAAATTACTATTTTTATATACTTCTGTATATTCTTGTATTTTTTGCAATCATTTCACCCCCAAGTAAAGTGATAATGCCACTAAGATGCAAGAGTGTAAAAGTACTGCACTTAATTCCATAAATTCTAAATCATAATGAAGAGTTCATCCAATAAAAAAAAGGCACAGGGAAGCAACTTTATGGTGTTGGGAAACTGACTCAAGTTGAGGTGTCAGGTCAGGGCCAATAATATTACTGATTCTTCTTTGGATTTTATCAAGAATCTCTAAATATATAAGCAGTAATGCTGGACTATATATGGTAGCAATATTTTAAGCATGTACAAATGGTAGACTTTATAGATATGTAAGATAGATTTTAGAGAGAAAAATTCTCTCACACAACACAGTAAACCAATTTTCATAGCAGCTGACTTAGTAATGGATTCAATATAGGCTTTCCCCCACTTCATGTCAACCAAGTCTGTTAGCCTGAGATAGCATAATAAGTCTCTCTCCTGAACGTTAGCATCAGCCATCAATTGTGTTTTTAACTTACTTGCACATCTGTTTTTGTCAGAATTGATACACCAGAAAACTGTTTGCTCACATTCAATGCCTCAAAAACCAAACTAGTTACATTCTATTATAACTGATCAGATCTTGAAATATCACCAATCATGAAGAATGGATGTTCACTCAGAGAGGCCCCATGTCTTGAGTGCCTATTGGGACTTAAACAAGTGGAGCTCATACATACAATTCATCACTAAAGAGGATGGAAAAATGGTTGGTTCCCCGTACCACTCCAGTAAGTACTTGAT